TCAGAAAACTTCATTTTCCTTTTGGGACGCTTTTGCTAATTGTCTCTCTAATAATAAATATTTACAAATATTTGATGTCAGATTTACTGTCATGACGCTTGTTTTAAGCATCATTGGATTATATTATTATTCTTGGTTCTTTCGGTAAAGTCACGTAGAAGGGAAACAATAAAATAATAAGAATATAAAACAATAAAATTCTCACGACGTTTCGACTGCAACACAAGCAATCATCATCAGGTGTGAAAACCGCAACAATAAAATTTGTGGTTTTCACACCTGATGATGATTGCTTGTGTTGCAGTCGAAACGTCGTAAGAATGTTATTGTTTTATATTTTTATTATTTTATTGTTTCCCTTCTACGTGACTTTACCGAAAGAACCAAGAATATGAATCCCTGCAGTCACGAAAGCTTTAAATCAAAATTTATGTTATTGTTTTCATGGCTGATGCTAATAAAACATGAAGCATTCTCGACCAACCTTTCTCGTTGATAACCAAAAACTCATGAGTCTATAATGGTACATTATGACGATTTGAATGATGATTTGCGTCAGAGTTTGGTGGATAACGGGCAGCTGCACCCCTTGATTGTTAATGTGCAGCCTCCTTCTTGCAAAATTCATGCCAAGCTTTGGTTTTTGCTGCCCTCTTTTGTAACGCAGCATACATTGCTCTCGTTCAACAGCCCAACGCCTTGCCCTCGGTGCATCGCAATGTCTCATTAAGAATATTCCATGGTACCAGCCCAACTGCTTTTTTCCCCAGTCTCTCATTACCATTATGCATTAACGAGTGTCAAATGTTTAGATTTTTAAGCTTTCGCGACTGCAGGATTCATATTCTTGGTTCTTTCTGTAAAGTCACGTAGAAGGGAAATAATATTTGTGTTTATTGTTTCCCTTCTACGTGACTTTACCGAAAGAACCAAGAATATGAGTGTCAAATGTTTTACGAAGAACAATAACATATCCTGAACCAAATGTATACATTTGACATTTTGATGGGATTTTTTTTGCGTTCTTCAAAAACTCAGCATTTCGCTCAAAACTTCAAAAGGTGCTCGAATGGGCCTGCAGATAAAACCCCCCATGAAGCTAAGCGTCGACCCGTTCCAGCAACCACAAACCCGAAATCCCAGAGCCTTGTTAACGTTTTCCTTCCTTTTTTTGCGGTGATCCTGCAGCTGGTGTGATCATCTGGGTAATTGCTAACATGTGGCGAGCTTTTAATACACGCTTTCCTCGCTATCCGTAAAAAAAAAGAGAGAAGAAAAGTTAAAATGTCTGCGACCACTACATCATTGGGAAACATATTTCCCTTGATGCAATTAGGGTTCAAAGGGCAAGCGTTGCTTCGCCTTTACCAACGTGGAGAGACAGGTTGGGGGCGTGGGGGTTGCAGGTCTCGTGCAACTTCACATTTCAACATCAAAAGCCTTAATATGACCATCTGTTGATTCTTATCGTTGTAAAGAGAGGTGTGAATCAAGGAAGCCAAGCCACCTTTTAAATGTAGGTCCTCAAATGGGTTTCTGAACAGTCTTGCGTTTGAAAATTGAGCATTGAAAGTGACAGCAGAGTTTTAACGTGTGGGCGAAGCAGTGAATGGTGCCGGCTTTATTGCCACGTGTTCCAGAAACTTGTAATGCATGCAGAGTATTTCTAAAATAAATACAAAATCTCCTTTTATATTTCCCGTACACTTTCACGAGAGAAGTAACTGTGAACATATTTTACAAGTTACACCTTTTGGGGTGATGAGCAATGCAACTTTTGCACCAAATTTACATTGAGTTAGTGCCCTGACCTTTGAACCATCCAGCCATCTCTTATATAATCATCAGCCAAATATCTATGTACTGCAGGATGAATGCCTCCCTCACAATCCACTGTTGCTCCGCTTCATCTCACTTGTGCACATGAACCAATATATACATTCTCCAACTCCGTGGTGGTTGTGGTCTTGCACATATTCCTTCCTTTGGCTGATATTCGATCATTCAGTCTGGTTCATTGGCCAGCAGCTTGTGTTGTGGTGTCCTGCCCTAGCTCATTTACTTTTCTTCACCGTCAATATTGTCTCTGATTTGCGTTTCTTTCCTGACCCACGTGCTGAAATCGAACAAGCATCTCACTAACCTGTAACGGAGACAGCCCTGCCACATGGGGGTTTATCCATGAGAATAAATTATTTTTATTTCTCCACCTGTCGTCCGTCCTTCCCGTCCACTTTCTAAATGAATTTTGTTTAAAAGGTGTGAATTGTCTTCTCGTGTGTCTGCTGGCCACACACTCTGGGTGGCATTCTCTCATTCCTCTTTTCCATTTAAAATGTTTAATCGTTCTGTCCCCTCTGTTCCTCTTGCTATACCCTTGCAGTGAAGTCTCCCACAATTGCTATGCTGCAGCATGACCTCGTTTTTGCCTGTTTATAGCGTACAGAACACGCCTTGTTTATTCGTAAACTTCCAGAGCGTTTAAGCTTATTGACCCAATTTGACGAGACTGCAAATTAGAATGAAGGGATTAGCTATTCATGATGCTATTTTCTTTTGTATTTTCAGCACAATTTATGGTAATCGGTAGCTTGCCGATAACGACACGTAGTTGCGTGTGACTCAAAACATACCCACCCATAACTAATTGGACTTAATGTAGCTTGAAGTGAAGGGACCTCTTTAAACGGTGCTTTTGCACTGAATCCAACCGTGGCATGCTGTGTATCCTCAGGAGAGTCTTAATAGCAGTTTTGTTATTCTTTCTAGAAATTCCAACCAGGTGTAACAAACACATGTTAAACCTGAGCGCAAATACATACGTGTTAAGAATAAAACAGGAAACAGGCTACACTACAGTGATTCAATGGCAAGGGTCCGTAAACTTTATCATCGAATGTTTCATACATGAGCGCTTTGTTTTATGCATGCACAAAACTACTACGAACTACGGTTAAATGTGTTGCATTGTTCACTGAAATTTGTGTGAACATTCTCTGATTGCATGGTGGGAAATCCTGCACTGCTATGATTCAGCAGTGTTTACAGCAATTCTGCTCACAGAAGCCTACAGCATCACAATGCGCTCCACAACTTCCCGCGTTTGAGATTTCCTGGCTTTGCTTGTTCTGCTGTTCAGTTAAACAATGCTTATTGTCATTAATATTTTTGTTTAATACCAAAAACAAGAAACATACAACCCTATTTTACTATTACATTACTTTAGAATGTTGGGTTTCTACTGGTATTTGTTGTGGAAGCCAAGTGCATAATTATTTAGTTATTGAAATAGATGATATAACAATGTAGGAGAATATTATTTTATTGTTTCCCTTCTATGTGACTTTACCAAAAGAACCAAGAATATGAATCCCTGCAGTCACGAAAGCTTTAAATCAAAATTTAATGTAGGAGAAGTACAATTTGGAGACGTTTCACTGAGTTTACAAATATTGTTTGGTTTGGTGTTATGTCGACCTGAGTAGTATTGTTTATGCATATGTGTACAGAAAGTCGAATTGTTTCTGCACTTTACACATGTTGATTTAATGAAATCATTGCTTTCCCATCATAAAAAAATAGTCCAAACTTGATACATTTTGTTTTCAAATTATGTAAGACAAATGTAATTGACGGACAAAAAGAGAAACATAAATGTATTATGGATTCTTCTTTTGTATGGCTTGTGTATATGCAGAGCAACAGCTACAATTTCACATTCAGGTGGTCAAGCTAGATAACTGGATAGTCACTACAAAGAGATAATAGGAATATTGACAGAAATGCACGACACGTTTATTGTAAATGTAATGAGAAAACAAAAGTGAATATACATTTTTTGCTGGGAAAAATTGTGGATATAAGAAGCCATCGAGAATGGCTTGATGACATAATAGATTGGTGCCAGAAAGAGGAAACAAATGACAATGTGAAGTGGACACCTACGGGCTATCTGTGCATGGATCGTGACGATGATGATGATGACAAGAAGCTGGAGAAGACAGAAAATGAAGTACCAAAGCAATTTGAACAATTAGATGCAACTGTTTGGGATTAATATCATGGACAGAGCTAAATAGAAGGAAGGCCACAATTACCGAGCACAGTAAATAGATACATTGTGTACACATCCTGCTTATTTTACTTTCTGAATCTCTATGTACATTATGTGAAGGATGGTCATGCATTTACTTTGTGTACATGCGTATTTTGGTGTCAAATATTGCTCGTACTTTCTGAATCTGTATGTACATTATATGAAGGATGGTCATGCATTTACTTTGTGTACATGAGTATTTTTGTGTCAAATATTGCTCGTACTTTCTGAATCTGTATGTACATTATATGAAGGATGGTCATGCATTTACTTTGTGTACATGAGTATTTTGGTGTCAAATATTGCTCGTACTTTCTGAATCTGTATGTACATTATATGAAGGATGGTCATGCATTTACTTTGTGTACATGAGTATTTTGGTGTCAAATATTGCTCATACCTAAATGCACTTTTGTGTATAAACTGTACATGCATCAGCAATCGTACTTGCTCACACACCTTGTAACTTGTATTGAATTTGCATGCAAGTACATATTTAAAGTCATTTAACAAGATGGGCACAATGAGCTGCAAGCTGGTTTACACTACAGCAGTGGTGATCCATTCTGGTGGATCTCAATGGGCTCTGCGATCCACCATAATTCTGAACCAACAATTACCCTGATGGATGTAACCCTATAATAAACTACTCTATAGACACACAAGCTACTAGCTCTGTCTTTTGGTAAAAGTTCTTTGTTTAACGTATGCATTCTTAACGCAAAATTGTTGTCTGCTTATGTTCATGTTCGGTTCTGATTTGTCCTGAGATTTACAATTAATCTCTTGCGATCGATCCTGGATTGCGACCCAAACATTGGCGCTATAGCTCGTGTGTTGATTTTCGCCACGTGTACGCGGTGGTCAAAATGGCTGTTCCCCCGTGCGGCACCTGTCACTTCAGATGGGAGTGAGTGTCGTTGACTCGTCGGTGGCTGGGCTGGGAGGGTGTCCGTACGCGCGCGGGGCGTCTGGAAACGTGGCAACAGAGGACGTGGTCTACATGCTCAACGGCCTGGGCATCCAAACGGTGCGTTCACCTTTCCAACGCTCGACGCGTTCACCTTTCCAACGCTCGACGCGTTCACCGCACCATTAACTGCTTGGGCAGAACACAGCCTTCTTTGTATGGCTGATGTTGTTATAGGGCAATGTTCTTCACTGATTTTCAGAGCGGGGGGGCCACTTACGCCAATAAGACTTCAGTGTGAGGGCTGCCACACTGCCTGCAAGGGGATTTTCACATTTGTGAATTGTCAGGATCGCACGTCAGGAGACGAACTAAAGGCCACCAGTGGTTGCCAGTGGCCTGCGGGCCTTGCAACGAAGAACACTGTTATAGAGCGACAATAAGATGTTTTACATTAACATGCACAGGTGTGTAAAATACAAACTGCTCTATATGCTGTCTCTGTATACTTTCTTACTAGGGTGTGGACCTTCAGAAACTGATTGAAGCAGGGGATTTCATCTGCAAGGCTCTGAACAGGCGAAGTGGCTCGAAAGTGTCCCAGGCTACCTCTAAGCTGTGAACCTGCAGTCTGCCCCCACTGTACAAATGTAGTCACATGAGGGTGTGTTGATGTTGGGTCAAGGGAGAGCCGGTGGTGCTTTGCGTCTGTTTAACGGATCGCGTATCATCATCTGAGGTGGGTAACGGCTGGCTTCATTCGTAGGCAAAGAAACCAACTTTGCTTTGAGCTCCCATTCTTTGGTCAATATTCAATCTGTGCAGTTTTCTTGTATGTGTCTTTTATGTAATTAACATTCATGTGGGTCATCTACGATAATGAATCTGAGGATAAAACACCTCGGGGTATTACCCCGAACAAAACGAGTGACTGGCTGGGAGTGGTAACGCATTTGCCTTGTGCGTTTCCAACGTTAAAATTGCTGTGCGCCTACCTTGTGCTAATGTATTGAAATTGGTGACAACGGTGCATATTAAGCCTAATAGTCATGTTTTTCAGTCTCCATTTACAAAATGACACAAAAGTGTTGTCGTGCAGTGGGAAAATAGGGTGCGTGATAAATTCCCGGTAACCACTGTAACCATGATTGGTGCGCTTTAATCAATCCCGGGATGACCTGCACTGTGCTTGTACGAGGCCACTTGCTTAGACCAATGCACAGTTTACTAAACACTTACGGATTAACTTGGCAGGATTGAGCACTTTTGGAGGGCTTGATGCATGCGTGTGTGTGCTCATGCTGGTGCAAATGTACCTCGACGCACACGGCTAAAGAATTGTAATCACATTTCACTGGCAGTCGAGACATGGGGGGAAAACGAGATCAATGTATGAGGTGGGCACCTGCGCTTTGTCAAGATAAATTTAAAACCTCATCTGTAATTATTCTTTAAATAAGAGCAGTGTTTTTTTGGGTCGTCTTCCTTTAAAAGGAGTAACATTCAGTACTTGTATAGTAATTAGTTAACCGTGCTCTTGGCTGACGGGTTTTACACACGTGGTTGGATTGATGCTATGTTGAAGTGTAAGTTCTCAGGAGGCAACAGTTTGCATAGAAATGCATATTTTGGGCGCATCTGCTGATGTGATTTTCATTAACCTCCAAGTGCTCTCAATTGCAGGGCCTGTTATTTCAGGGAAGTATAACAGTCCAACATTGGTGATTCAGTTTTGCTTGTTAAGTTGTGGAGCTATATTAGACTTGGATTGTGTTCTGTCAGCATGGCCGAATTGCTAGTTGGTATTTGTAATTATTTTCGGCCCACGTTACTTTATTGCAATCTGTGCATTTATGACGTAGCCAACCCCAAAGCTGATTCAGCTGATCAAACACTGCTACCACACGCTGGCTTGCATTAATTAAAAACCTTATTTTGTCGCCAGCATGCATTCTTAATCAAGAGCATTAACATTTTATCAGGTAAAGGTGTAAATTATGTCAGTCTTCTGCTGTGTATGTATGCATTAAATGAAGTTAACTTGCACTAACTAAAATAAAGCCATTTACATAGAGTCCTTCCTAAGGTGATGAATGATCTTGCTTTTGAATTTTATTATCAGCTTGCAATTATTTTATTTCAGATAACACAGGAGTAAACTGGCGAAGCTTACCCACTTCAATACTGGACGAGCATTTATTTGTATGCAAGCTAGCTCTCTCATTGTGTGGTAAGCAGTGTTTTAAACTGTGCCTAGGCAAATATATATCTGAACATGGTACAAATTACTTGCTTCTTCCTTGTGGGAAGGAATATTGCATCTTATTCATGGCTTGAGATATTGATAAGCTTGTTTGGATTATTGGCTGAATTAAATATCACTATGAATGTGATGTCTGAATTTTAGAGGACTTTACTGGTCAACAACAATTGTTATCATTGCTCAGTGTGGATTTGGCATAATTCTGAATGAAATCCTGAATGATAATTTCCCAGTGATAATTGTGTTGCAGTGTACACTGTGCAAGATACTATAAAAGAATTACTCTGGACAGGTATGCAATGTACACGTGTGTGAGAATGCCATTGAGTTTTTGTGTCTAATTTGTTTAAAATTGCCAGTGGTCTAATGCACATTTATACAAAATACCCCAACATTGCATAATTATTTTGTCAAAAGTATATTTTCAAAATGAAAGTATTTTTTTTATATCCGTAAAAACTGATAAAATTCCTCTTGACTGGTGTTTTTGCAAAATAACTTTTTAAAGTTTGGTTTAATAGACTTACAAATTATATAACACTGTGCAGCGGAAATCATGTTTTCTTTAATTTGTCATATAACATGATTAAACAATTACAGCGAGTGGTACATCAATAGATTATTAGGTTGCTAATATCCTGTCGGCTGTGTGGAGTGCTGGTCATGTCTTGGAAGCAATGTTCAGTGTTGTGACCTTTGTGGTTTTGCCTGGTTGATCTGAGTAGATGCCAATTATTTAAGATAACAGTATTACAAAGTATGCTGTTTCATTGTGCCTCGTGTAAATTTTCCGTGTAAATTATACCAAAGTATTAAAATCAATGTAATGCATTAATGTGTGTTGCTGTGATTCTTTGTGGATGTGAGCTTGAGTGACTGGAATATTCGTATTATTTCGTAATATTTGAGCAACATTTAGATACTTCTTAAACAGAGGGACACCAGTAAAAAAAATGTTTATGTTCTAAAATCTGTAAAAAAAAAATCGTAGTGTTTATTGGTACAATGTTGACCCTATCTTGCATATAATTTTTTTATGGATTCAAAATGTTCACGTGTACAGTTAAATGATACCTTAAAGGTTCGATATAACAATTAAATCAAGCATCGAATGCGAAAGCACTCGTGTACCTTCTTGCCAAAATATAAAAAAATAATATATCACGACGTTTCGATCGCAACACAAAAACACTGGTTCAGGAATTCCACTGCTGGATTATTGTTCCCGCCTGATGGAGGACCGCTTGTGTTGCGATCGAAACGTGATATATTATTTTTGGATTTAAAGCTTTCGTGACTGCAGGGATTCATATTCTTGGTTCTTTCGGTAAAGTCACGTAGAAGGGAAACAATAAAATAATAAAAATATAAAACAATAAAATTCTCACGACGTTTCGACTGCAACACAAGCAATCATCATCAGGTGTGAAAACCACAGCAAGAAAAAACCGCCGCTTTTTTCAAATTTTCTTGCTGTGATTTTCACACCTGATGATGACTGCTTGTGTTGCAGTCGAAACGTCGTGAGAATTTTATTGTTTTATAATTTTATTGTTTCCCTTCTACGTGACTTTACCGAAAGAACCAAGAATATATGATTTTATTTTTCTACCTCCGTGACTTTACCGAAAGAACCAAAGAGTATGGATTGCTGCAGTCACGAAAGCTTCAAATCAAGATTAAAATCTAAAAAGGTATATTCTGCTTTTGGGAAATGTGGCCCTAGCGACATAAAAAGAAGACACCAGCTCTACCCGCCATAGAAACGTGTGTCGTGCCGATGTTGACTTGTGAGCAAACTCGCGTCCGACTTGCATCAATAAGTTACTGCCATGCCGGCACGTGTGCATTACTGTGAAGGTCCCGTGCAATTTTTGCGACCTCGAAAACGACTCCCAAGTGCAACCAATTAGCTTTCGTGTGAGACACTCGTCGGTGCAACACGGGGGGAGGAGAGGGAAAGACTGCGGAGTGATGCACGACATCCACAGCGCCAAGCGGGAGACGATACGTGCCGTGGCTCCTCCACCACACAGCTGAGTCCGCACCATTCCTCGTGCCGAAGTGTTGGCGAGAAAGCACTCCAGACAGAGAGAGACCATCATCTCTTCAATCTCGGGTGGCCGCGAGGTATGTTTGATGGGTGTGAGAGAGTTGTGCACAGGTCCGGGCTTTGAAGCGTATCTTTTTAACAAGCAACAACACATTCTGAAAGATGGTCCTTCAGCTACACTGGATCACTTATAAGTGAACAACTGCTTTGAGCCTCGCTTGTTCCGGGCGGGCTTTGTCATTAGCTAGGCGGTGGTGGTGCACGTGGCCTGTAATCCAGCACTGGAAGGGTGGATTTGATCAAATGTTAAACTCCCCGTGGCTGTTGAGGTATTCTACCGTGGCTCGCCTGGAGAATGTACGTAGCCAACCACGAATGCAGGTACAGTAAAAATGTGGACTTCCACCTTTTCCGTCTGTATGGGATTGAGCGTTTCCCCCTTTGCACACGTGTATTTTCTCCAGGTGATCTTGGTTCCTCCCATGCGTATAAACTCGTCAATTGGCCGATAACACCTTAATACATAGAGGGCAGCAGAGCTTGGACAATTGTTGGCACCAGCTGACCCATTTGACTTCCCGCTTGCCTGGTTTCACCACCCCACCCCAGCGCCGCCTCGGTCATTCTCTCTGCGGTACATTACAAGTTGAGATTATCAATGTAACGAGTGTGTAACAGGAGTTTTCATCTGCACTACAGTTCTGGTTAATCTGGCGTTGTTAAGATACGGTCCATTTGTTATGAAACTCGATTCGGAGTCAATTATTCTTTTCGTCCCCCATAAATACACGATAACACATGTTTACAACCTTTTCTATTTTATTAACACTACATAGCATGAGCATTTTCAGGTTAAAATCGCTCTAAACTTATAACAGCACTTTTGCAATGTACCGATGCTCACAAATCTAAACACTCTTCTTTGGTTTAGTCCACTAGTCTCCAAACTGTTTTAAACCGTTTTTTGTTACATCTTAATACATTTCAGCAGCTCTTTGTTTTAAACAATTCAGTGTCAGATCTTCAAGGCTAATTTGTTTAAATACAGCAACAACACAACTGCCAAAGCCTTGGTAACTGAAGTGTATATATAGTTTGTTAAAAATACATTCTAATGGCGAACGACTACCAAGTTAGCCAAGGAGCCAAAATTAAACGTGTTAAGGAGATGCAGGCACGGAAGTTTACAAAAGCACTTTTGTGTGCAATGCTGTAATACTATAAACTATTCCACTGTGCAGAAATACTCAAAGACTGCCATCGTTTAATCTAACATGCATAACAAAACTTACAAAACAAAACCCCCAACTTTGCGAAAGAAAATGTAATCCAGGATACATGCATATGGCCCACAGGTGATGTTATTTAAATCGCGCAAGGTTTCCGTATTTAGCATTTAAAGGGAAAGTGACCATTTATCCGTGGTTCTGAAAAGCATGCAAACTCCTAAAGCAACGACACATTTCTGTAAATATAGAGACGTAAAAATGATAACCTACAATCTCGTTTTCGCCTAAGCATGTTTGTAGTGGTGACATTTGCTTACGTAACAAACAAAACAAAGTGTGAGCACTTATAAATTTGTAGCCTGGCCTGGAAAACAACAAAGTTGGAACAGCGAAAAATAGTTAACAGGGTAATCCAAAAAATTACTGGAAGCAACATGCTCAACAATTTGCCCACAACATTGATATTTGTATTACTCTCTATGGAGTAAACTTTCAACCTCGTTAAAAATGATTTTTTTGTTTTAATTAAAAGGCCAACCATACTCGAAAGTACACGATTTGGTGTGCAAGCTAACAAAGCAGAGTTTCAAACCCGCGGACATTCGGTGCTAATGTAAGCAATAAAACAAACAAGCCACATTAGCTAGATCGCATCTCCCCATGACCACTTTCACCGCATTTCCTCGAACAAACTCCCCCAATCTTGGACCTTTCAAAAAAAATCGAATCGAAAACGGGACCACGTCAGGCCTCAGCGGCGGCTGAAGCTCGTGGAGGTGTACGAAGATGGCGAGAGGAAGGTGGACGGCGTCCCGGATCCCGTGGCGTCGAAGCTTCCACGGCGCGACCCCGGGCGGGAGCCCGAGCGTGACCCGAAGCCCGAGCTCGGCGTGCTGGCGCTGTAACGGCTCGTCAGCCCCGACGCCTCCAGCAACCGTACGCCCGTCTCCTCGTCTGTCATGGAGCGGTCCAGGGCGTCTTTGAACGTGATCCGCGCCTTGGTTTTGGGGCACACCAGGTATTTGAGGTGTGAATTGACGTCGCGGATCTTCTTGGCGGTGTAGTTGTCCACGATGCCCTTCTCGACCGCTTCGTCGAGCTGAATCCGCTCGGGTTTTCCCGAGTCGATGATGCCGCCGGTGAGGTATTGCACTTCAAAGATGCGCGTTCCTGCCTCCTGGAACAGGAGGCCCTTCTTCATGGCTTGGCCGGTGTGGAATATAGCCTTGGTCCTCAGGTCTTCAAATCCATGGTAGGCTTTGTTGGCTTGATTTAGCTTATCAGCCATGTACTTATCTAAGAGTCCCTGGGTTACAGCTTCCGGGATGCTGCACCGTCCTCCTGTGGCTGGGTTGATGATCCCACCCGTACAAGCCTGGGCTTCTAAGAGCCTCTGTCCCGTGATGGTGTCTACAAGGTTGCGGCGAATGGCTTCAGTAATAGAGATTTTCTCGAACTTCTGAAGATCCAAAATGCCTCCAATTGGCACTGTCTCCTCTGTGGGGTCACTCCAGGGAACCGATGGCACTTTTGAGCCTGCCTGAGGGCTTGCAGGAACCGAGGATGCTCCAAAGGATGAGGAGCGTGAACGAGAGCCACTTGACGTGCCGGACAACTGGTCCCCGAGCTCAAATATCGTCATTTTTCCCGATCTGTAGAGCTGAACAGTCTGTTCGTTAATGACACCTTCAGCCAGCGACTCGTCGATACTGAACTGTCTTCCCGACTTTCTGTCCACCAGAAGCGATGTAGTGACGCCATCTGAAGATGTGATGGTGATCTCTTCCCACTCGCTTTCTTGAGCCGATAGCTGTAGGTATGTAGGCTGGTCTATGAGACCCTTCATGTAGGCCTCGTACACCGTCATTTCCTTGCCGGTGTCTGGGTCGACAACTATGATTTTCCGTTTGCGTACGGACGACTTGGACGACATCTTGCGTTCAGGCTTTTTGTCTTTCAGCATCAGGAGATAGAGGCCAGAAGAATCTTTAGAGCAGCGTTGCAGAAGTTCCATGTATGTCAGATTCTCCTCGGTGTTGGGGTCAAAGAAGCCCTTGGTGTCATCACTTGGATCGAGCAAGATTTGATTCATTTCTTCATCGAACAGGCCTCGTTTGTACGCCAGCTCCACAGGGATTCTGTGACTCGCGTGCGGATCGATGATTCCTCCCGTGGCAATCTGCGCTTCCAGTAGTCGGATTCCATGATTTTTCACAATCATCTGCTTTTTCATGGCTTGGAATATTGATATTTTCTGATCTGTGTACGGATCTTTGTATCCCGTGACTGCACGCTCGGCAGAGAGAAGTTTGTCCTTGAATTCTTCTCCAACAACTCCCAATTTGATAGCTTCCTCAACCAGTAGTTTTTGTTTCTTGACTGGATCAATTATGTATCCCGTGGCTGCCTGTGCCTCAAGCAGCTCAAAAGCAGTGCCAGGTCTGATAAGCCCTCGTTTCATGGCCGCATATATGGAAAGTATCTCCTTGGTGCGGTCCACAAATACGCCGGCGATGCTGCTTGTGCCCTCCAGGAACACTTTAAGCGATTCACTTACTTCATTCACGCTCACAGAGCCATCTTTGAGTTTGCTCGCGGTCGTCTCGTTTATTAGTCCGGAGTCCATCAACTCACTTATGGTCACTTGCCGCCTGAATCCTTTAAACGTGATTGGTGACTTTTTGATTTCCTTCTCTCTTTTCTCAATTATCTCAATAATTATGATTATGAGAACTTGCAGTGTTATTTTGCCCGATCGGTAATCTTGGATCAGTTGCTTCTTCTTTTCACTGTCAATGAGATCGGTCTGGAAGAGTTCTTGAATTGTAACCTTTTTACCAGAAAACTTCCCCACTGGTACGTCCACTGTAGTGTTACTGAAGTTTTGTGTTGCCTGCTCCTCTGAAAAAACGTACTTCTCCTTCGATGAAATTCCCTTTCCTGTGCTAGTAATTATTTCAATGATCAAAATAATGAGCTGCTGCTGCGTGATTTTGCCTGTTCTGTAATCTTCCATGAGCTGTTTTTTCTTGCTTTCTTCAATGGTATCACTGGCAAACAATTCCTGCACAGTTACCTTTTTGTTAGAAAACGTCTTTGAAGGTAGCTCAATTGAAATAGACTTTAAGTCTGCTTCTACTTGTGCCACTGTTAAAACTTTCCTGGCAGACTTGGAATCACTGGGCTCGTCCCTAGCTTCTTGGACCACAACCGCTGGCACTTTCTTCACCGCCAGCTCTTCACGAGATACCTGCTCTCCTTCCTTCTTATGAATAATTTCAATGATTATTATCAGGAGTTGCTCAATTGTTATCTTTCCAGACCTCAAATCGTTCATCAGCTGCTGCTTCTTGCCAGGATCTATCAACCCACTGTCTAAAATGTCCTGAACTGATGGCTTTTTGCCAGCAAACCTTCCAAAAGAGACATCAATTGAGGTTTTCTTGAGATGTTCCACAATCTCCTGTGGAGACGCACCCTGCACACTCGATGTTTGCACAACTGTTGACGTGACAACAGTTTGTTTTGACACAGCTAATGAACTTTCTGTCTCTCCCATTGCAAGTGATTCTGGGGTGTTCTGCTTGATCATAACCTTATGTTTGGCTCCACTTTCTTTTGTCTGAATAATTTCAATGATGATTAGCAACAGCTGCTCAAGATTTATTTTTCCAGATTTATAATCGTTAATCAACTGGGTTTTCTTCTCTTCGTCAATTTCCCCACTGTCTAGAACTTCAAGAAGGGAAATCTTTTGGCCAGAAAACTTCCCAATGGGTAAAGTTACTGTTGTCCTTTGAAGACTCTGCTCAACATTTTCTTCTGCGCTGGCAGAATGCGTATATTGTGCTGTTTCTGAAACACGTTTTTCGGCAGTTACTGTTTTAAATGATATTTTTTGGCCAGTTTGCCCCAGTTCTTTCTCCTGCACAATGTGAACGATGGACATGAGTAGGTCTTGAATGTTAATTTTTCCAGATTTATAGTCGTCCAAGAGTTTCTGCTTTTCATCTGTTTCCAATAAACCACTTTCCAAAATATCCATGATCGTCATCTTTTTCCCAGCAAATCTTCCGACAGGTAAATCAACTGTAGTTCTCTTCAGCATCTCCATAACATCTTCCCCTGTGGATGAATCATCTTTTCTGGTTGTTGTCACCACTGTCTTCCTAACAACAGTTTGTGTTGACCTTGGGTCGGCAGTCTCTTCGGGAGTATACTTTTCAGCAGTTACCTTCTTCAGCACAACTTTATGCCCAGTCTCCCCCAGTTCCTTAGCCTGAATTATCTCAATTATGTAAACCAGAAGATCCTGAAGAGTAATTTTTCCAGTTTTGTAATTATCTATAAGTTCTTGCCTTTTAACATCATCAATCTCTCCACTGTCTAAAATATCCTGGAGTGACATACTTTTATTGGAAAACCGTCCAACTGGTAACTTAACGGTAGTCCTGGAAAGACTTTCCAAAACTTCTTGTTCTGGAGAGAGACCCTCTTTTCTTGTTGTTGTCACGACTGTTTTTGTAACGACTGATGCCACCCTTGATGGAGAGGTAGGGTCCTCTATTTCTGATGAACTGGATTTTTCAGCTGTGACTTTTTTCACTGTTACTTTAGGCCCAGACACGCCGCTTCCTTTAGCTTGAATAAACTCAATCATAAAAACAAGCAGCTGTTCTAAGGTAATTTTGCCAGATTTGTAGTTGTCAATGAGTTCCTTCCTTTTCATATCGTCAATTTCCCCACCATCTAATATCTCTTGAAGTGACATCTTTTTTCCAGCAAACTTTCCAATTGGCAAATCAATGGTTGTTCTCTTCAGTGTCTCTAATGCATCTTCTGGGGATGAACTATCTGCTCTGGTTGTCGTCACCACCGTCTTCTTAATGACAGTTTGCGACTCACTTGAACTGGATTCACCATTATCTTCTGGAGTTTGCTTTTCCGCAGTGACTTTCTTCACAACCACTTTGTGCCCAGTCCCTCCAAGTTCTTTTGCCTGGATAATTTCAATGATTAAGACCAACAGCTGCTCCAGTGTGATCTTACCAATCTTGTAATCGTCTATGAGTTCCTTCTTCTTTGCATCCTCAATTTCACCACCATCCAAAATCTCCTGGAGTGACATACTTTTATCAGAATACTTCCCAATTGGCAATTTCACTGTTGTTCTAGACAGGCTCTCCAAAGCCTCTTGTTCTGGAGATAGTCCTTCTTGTCTTCTAGTTGTCACAACTGTTTTGGTGACCACTGATCTTGATGTAGAGGTAGGCTCATCCACATCTGCTGAATCAGACGGTTCTGATGTCATCTTTTTTACCACGATTTTAGGCTGTGCTGTGCCACTTTCTTTAGCCTGAATAATATCAATGATGAAAACAAGCAGCTGTTCCAGATTTATTTTTCCTTTTTTGTAATCTTCCATGAGCTCCTTCCTCTTGTCCTCATCAATCTCTCCACCATCTAAGATCTCCTGAAGCGACATCTTCTTCCCAGCAAACTTTCCTATTGGCAAATCAATGGTTGTTCTCTTCAAAGTGTCTAATGCATCTTCCTCAGGAGATGAACCAGCCTTGCTGGTCGTCGTCACCACCGTCTTCTTGATGACAGTTTGAGTTGCACTTGAACTGGATTCACCATTATCTTCTGGAGTTTGTTTTTCTGCTGTGACTTTCTTCACAACCACTTTGTGCCCAGTCCCTCCAAGTTCTTTTGCCTGGATAATTTCAATGATTAAGACCAACAGCTGCTCCAGTGTGATCTTACCAATCTTGTAATCGTCTATGAGTTCCTTCCTCTTTGCATCCTCAATTTCACCACCATCCAAAATCTCCTGGAGTGACATACTTTTATCAGAATACTTCCCAATGGGCAATTTCACTGTTGTTCTAGACAGGCTCTCCAAAGCCTCTTGTTCTGGAGATAGTCCTTCTTGTCTTCTAGTTGTCACAACTGTTTTGGTGACCACTGATCTTGATGTAGAGGTAGGCTCATCCACATCTGCTGAATCAGATGGTTCTGATGTCATCTTTTTTACCACGATTTTAGGCTGTGCTGTGCCACTTTCTTTAGCCTGAATAATCTCAATGATGAAAACAAGCAGCTGTTCCAGATTTATTTTTCCTTTTTTGTAATCTTCCATGAGCTCCTTCCTCTTGTCCTCATCAATCTCTCCACCATCTAAGATCTCCTGAAGCGACATCTTCTTCCCAGCAAACTTTCCTATTGGCAAATCAATGGTTGTTCTCTTCAAAGTGTCTAATGCATCTTCCTCAGGAGATGAACCAGCCTTGCTGGTCGTCGTCACCACCGTCTTCTTGATGACAGTTTGAGTTGCACTTGAACTGGATTCACCATTATCTTCTGGAGTTTGTTTTTCTGCTGTGACTTTCTTCACAACCACTTTGTGCCCAGTCCCTCCAAGTTCTTTTGCCTGGATAATTTCAATGATTAAGACCAACAGCTGCTCCAGTGTGATCTTACCAGTCTTGTAATCGTCTATGAGTTCCTTCTTCTTTGCATCCTCAATTTCACCACCATCCAAAATCTCCTGGAGTGACATACTTTTATCAGAATACTTCCCAATTGGCAGTTTCACTGTTGTTCTAGACAGGCTCTCCAAAGCTTCTTGTTCTGGAGATAGTCCTTCTTGTCTTCTAGTTGTCACAACTGTTTTGGTGACCACTGATCTTGATGTAGAGGTAGGCTCATCCACATCTGCTGAATCAGATGGTTCTGATGTCATCTTTTTTACCACGATTTTAGGCTGTGCTGTGCCACTTTCTTTAGCCTGAATAATCTCAATGATGAAAACGAGCAGCTGTTCCAGATTTATTTTTCCTTTTTTGTAATCTTCCATGAGCTCCTTCCTCTTGTCCTCATCAATCTCTCCACCATCTAAGATCTCCTGAAGCGACATCTTTTTCCCAGCAAACTTTCCTATTGGCAAATCTATGGTTGTTCTCTTCAGGGTCTCCAGTGCTTCTTCCGGAGATGAACCAGCCTTACTGGTCGTCGTCACCACCGTCTTCTTGATGATAGTTTGAGTTGCACTTGAACTGGATTCACCATTATCTTCTGGAGTTTGCTTTTCCGCAGTGACTTTCTTCACAACCACTTTGTGCCCAGTCCCTCCAAGTTCTTTTGCCTGGATAATTTCAATGATTAAGACCAACAGCTGCTCCAGTGTGATCTTACCAATCTTGTAATCGTCTATGAGTTCCTTCTTCTTTGCATCCTCAATTTCACCACCATCCAAAATCTCCTGGAGTGACATACTTTTATCAGAATACTTCCCAATTGGCAATTTCACTGTTGTTCTAGACAGGCTCTCCAAAGCCTCTTGTTCTGGAGATAGTCCTTCTTGTCTTCTAGTTGTCACAACTGTTTTGGTGACCACTGATCTTGATGTAGAGGTAGGCTCATCCACATCTGCTGAATCAGACGGTTCTGATGTCATCTTTTTTACCACGATTTTAGGCTGTGCTGTGCCACTTTCTTTAGCCTGAATAATCTCAATGATGAAAACAAGCAGCTGTTCCAGATTTATTTTTCCTTTTTTGTAATCTTCCATGAGCTCCTTCCTCTTGTCTTCATCAATCTCTCCACCATCTAAGATCTCCTGAAGCGACATCTTTTTCCCAGCAAACTTTCCTATTGGCAAATCTATGGTTGTTCTCTTCAGGGTCTCCAGTGCATCTTCCGGAGATGAACCAGCCTTACTGGTTGTCGTCACCACCGTCTTCTTGATTACAGTTTGAGTTGCACTTGAACTGGATTCACCATTATCTTCTGGAGTTTGCTTTTCCGCAGTGACTTTCTTCACAACCACTTTGTGCCCAGTCCCTCCAAGTTCTTTTGCCTGGATAATTTCAATGATTAAGACCAACAGCTGCTCCAGCGTGATCTTACCAATCTTGTAATCGTCTATGAGTTCCTTCTTCTTTGCATCCTCAATTTCACCACTATCCAAAATCTCCTGGAGTGACATACTTTTATCAGAATACTTCCCAATTGGCAGTTTCACTGTTGTTCTAGACAGGCTCTCCAAAGCTTCTTGTTCTGGAGACAGTCCTTCCCTTCTTGTTGTTGTCACGACTGTTTTGGTAACTAATGATGTCACGGATGATGATGCTGGTTTGCCCGTTTCCTCGGGCAAACGTTTTAGTAATACTTTTTCTCCTGCTTTACCACCTTCCTTGGCTTGGATGATCTCAATGATAAAGAAGAGGAGCTGTTCAAGGGTTATTTTTCCAGATGTGTAGTCATTCATGAGTTGTTCCTTCTTGTCATCTTCAATTATGTCACTCTCCAAAATCTCCTGAAGTGAGGGATTTTTCCCAGCAAATTTTCCAAAAGGCAAATCGATTGTTGTCTGCTTCAAGGCTTCAGTTGTTTCTGCTGATGCACCCTCCTTTCTTGTGGATGTTACAACTGTCTTCGTGACAAGTGGAGTGTGTTTTTGCACGGGTGTATCGATTTCGGTTACATCAAGGTATTTTTTCTTCATCTCCTGTGTGCCTAGCTCTTTAGCTTGCACATACTCAATCACAAAGAACAGCAACTGTTCTAGGGTTATTTTCCCAGAGCTATAATCTTCAGTCAATGCATTTTTCTTGTCGGCATCAATCAAGTCACTTTCAAAAATGTCTTTGAGGGATGCTTTTTTTCCAGCGAACATTCCAAATGGTAGCTCAACTGTTGTATTCTCAAAGCTCATTGATAGATCTTGCTTTGGTGATTTGGCCACAAGTTTAGTGGAAGGCTCGACAGTCTTGGTGACCTCAATCTCTTTCAGTGGAGAGGCAGGATCAGTGGTTTTGGCTTTAATCTTTTCTGGCTTTGACTTCCTCTGCACAATTTCTATGATTAAAATATAAAGCTCTTGCAGGGTAATTTTGCCTAATTTGTAATCCTCTATCAATTGCTGCTTTTTGTCACTCTCCACCAAATCACTATCTAGCACGTCCAGCAGGGAGGCATTCTTACCAGCAAATTGTTCAAACGGAAGTTCAACGGCCATGTTTTTTAAGTCTTCTAATACCTTTTCATCTGCAATTGTAGTTACACGTTTTCCATGCTCCACTTTTTGTGGAGTCCTTTCTTGCTGTCGCACTGGCTGCTGGGAAGCCTTCAGTGCTTTGTCTTGCACATCTTCAGCATTCTGAATTATCTCAATGATATACAGTATCAGTTGTTCCTTATTTATTTTGCCCAATTTGTAGTCCTCCAAAAGTTTATTTTTCTTTTCATCTGCAATCAAGCCACTTAGGAAAATATCATCAAGTGAAGGATTTTTGCCAGCAAACCTTCCAAAATTTATATCAACTGTTGTCTTTACAAGTTTCGCTGGATCTTCGACATGAGGCGACAGGGATTCAGCTTCATTCCGAGCAGGACGTTTCTGTTTTGGTTTCTGCTGTTCACTTTCAGCTGTTGTAATGAATTCAATTATGTACAAAATTAGTTGATCTTTGCTAATCTTTCCAGACTTGTAATCTTCCAGCAACTTGTTTTTATTTTCTTCTGCAATCAAGCCGCTTTGTAACAGCTCATCTAGTGATGGTTTTTTTCCAGCAAATCTCCCAACCTGGATGCTAACTGTCATCTTTTTGAGGGCCTCCACGTCTTCCTGCTTTTCAGCTTTGGGGACTGGTGCAGCTGCAAGTTTTTGAGCGTCGTCTGTGGCTTTGGCAACTTCTTTCTGGGTGGGAACCTTCTTCTCTGGTCCCTTTCCTTTTTTCTCTTTGATTGGAAGGAGAGTGAGACCTGTGTCTGGGTCGATGATGCAACGCTGCATTTGCTCCATGTATGTCAGATTTTCTTCTGTGTTGGGATCAAAAAAGCCTTTGGTGTCATCGCTGGGGTCAGATAATATCTGGTTCATTTCCTCATCAAAGAGTCCTCTCTTGTACGCCGCTTCCACGGGAAGTCTATGGCTGGCCTGAGGGTCAATGATGCCTCCTGTGGCGATCTGGGCTTCAAGGAGTCGAATTCCGTGGGCTTTTAATATTAGTTCTTTTTTCATCGCCTGAAACAAGGACAATGTCTCTTTGGAAAAGGGATCCTTGTATCCTGTCACTGCGCGCTCTGCAGAGAGAAGTTTATCTTGGTACTCTCGACCCACGACTCCTTTCTGAACAGCTTCTTCAACGGACAATTTCTGATCTTTCACCGGATCTATGATGAAGCCACTAGCTGCTTGTGCTTCTAACAATACAAGCCCTGTTCCCAGTTTGATCAACTTTTTCTTTAAGCCATCGTACAGAGACATCGTTTCTTTAGTTTTCTCAATGTATAAACCTGCAATGGCATTACTGCCTCCAAGATACTTTCTGACTTGCTTTTGAACGTCGTCCTTTGTAATGAGACCATCTGCAAGCTGATTGGCAACATCTTCCTTGAGCACTCCTGATTTGACCAGATTATCGACTGTCACATCAGTGCGAATACCATGGAATGTGATGGCCTTCTTTGTCTTTTCCCTTTCATTTAGATGAATTATTTCGATGATCAAAAACATCAGCTGTTCAAGGGTAATTTTTCCAGTTTTATAGTCTACCATCAACTGTTTTTTCTTGTCTTCATCTACAAGGTCACTGTCAAAAATGTCCTGTAATGTGTATTTTTTTCCAGCAAACTTTCCAAATGGCAAATCAACAGTTTTTTTCTTCAACCGTTCAATGGCCTGCAGTTCTTCTGCCGGAACTGTTGTTGGCTTTAGAGGCACACTATCAGGTAGAACGCTCTGTACCGTTTCAGCTGCTTTTAGAACTGGTTCCTCACTTGACTTTGCTGGTTTATACTGTTCACTCTCAGCTGTTGTAATGAATTCAATTATGTACAAAATGAGTTGGTCTTTGCTTATCCTGCCTGACTTATAATCCTCCAACAATTTATTTCTCTTTTCTTCTGCTATCAAACCGCTTTGTAACAGCTCATTTAGTGATGGATTTTTTCCAGCAAATCTCCCAACCTGGATGTTAACTGTCGTCTTTTTGAGAGCCTTCACATCTTCTTGCTTCTCAGCTTTGGGCACCGGTGCAGCTGCAAGTTTTTGAGCGTCATCTGTGGCCTTGGCAACTTCTTTCTGGGTGGGAACCTTCTTCTCTGGTCCCTTTCCTTTTTTCTCTTTGATTGGAAGGAGAGTGAGACCGGTGTCTGGGTCGATGATGCAACGCTGCATTTGTTCCATGTACGTCAGATTTTCTTCTGTGTTGGGATCAAAAAAGCCTTTGGTGTCATCGCTGGGATCAGATAATATCTGGTTCATTTCCTCATCAAAGAGTCCTCTCTTGTATGCCGCTTCCACGGGAAGTCTATGGCTGGCCTGAGGGTCAATGATGCCTCCTGTGGCGATCTGGGCTTCAAGGAGTCGAATTCCGTGGGCTTTTAATATTAGTTCTTTTTTCATTGCCTGAAACAAGGACAATTTCTCTTTGGAAAAGGGATCCTTGTATCCGGTCACTGCGCGCTCTGCAGAGAGAAGTTTATCTTGGTACTCTCGACCCACGACTCCTTTTTGAACAGCTTCTTCAACGGACAATTTCTGATCTTTCACTGGATCTATGATGAAGCCACTAGCTGCTTGTGCTTCTAACAATACAAGCCCTGTTCCAAGTTTGATCAACTTTTTCTTTAAGCCATCGTACAGAGACATCGTTTCTTTAGTTTTCTCAATGTATAAACCTGCAATGGCATTACTGCCTCCAAGATACTTTCTGACTTGCTTTTGAACGTCGTCTTTTGTAATGAGACCATCTGCAAGCTGATTGGCAACATCTTCCTTGAGCACTCCTGATTTGACCAGATTATCGACTGTCACATCAGTGCGAATACCATGGAATGTGATGGCCTTCTTTGTTCTTTCCCTTTCATTTAGACGAATTATTTCGATGATCAATAACATCAGCTGTTCAAGGGTAATTTTTCCAGTTTTATAGTCCACCATCAACTGTTTTTTCTTGTCTTCATCTACAAGGTCACTGTCAAAAATGTCCTGTAATGTGTATTTTTTTCCAGCAAACTTTCCAAATGGCAAATCAACAGTTTTTTTCTTCAACCGTTCAATGGCCTGCAGTTCTTCTGCCGGAACTGTTGTTGGCTTTAGTGGCACACTATCAGGTAAAACGCTCTGTATCGTTTCAGCTGCTTTTAGAACTGGCTCCTCACTTGACTTTTCTGGTTTGTACTGTTCACTCTCAGCTGTTGTAATGAATTCAATTATGTACAAAATGAGTTGGTCTTTGCTTATCTTGCCTGACTTATAATCCTCCAACAATTTATTTCTCTTTTCTTCTGCAATCAAACCGCTTTGGAACAGCTCATTTAGTGATGGATTTTTTCCAGCAAATCTCCCAACCTGGATGTTAACTGTCGTCTTTTTGAGAGCCTTCACGTCTTCCTGCTTTTCAGCTTTGGGCACTGGTGCAGCTGCAAGTTTTTGAGCGTCATCTGTGGCCTTGGCAACTTCTTTCTGGGTGGTAACCTTCTTCTCTGGTCCCTTTCCTTTTTTCTCTTTTATTGGAAGGAGAGTGAGACCGGTGTCTGGGTCTATGATGCAACGCTGCATTTGTTCCATGTACGTCAGATTTTCTTCTGTGTTGGGATCAAAAAAGCCTTTGGTGTCATCGCTGGGGTCAGATAATATCTGGTTCATTTCCTCATCAAAGAGTCCTCTCTTGTACGCCACTTCCACGGGAAGTCTATGGCTGGCCTGAGGGTCAATGATGCCTCCTGTAGCAATCTGGGCTTCAAGGAGTCGAATTCCATGTTGTTTTAAAATCAATTTATTTTTCATGGCCTGAAACACAGAAAATGTTGCACCAGAGAATTTATCCTTGTATCCTGTCACTGCACGCTCTGCAGAAAGAAGCTTGTCTTTGTATTCTGGACCCACGACTCCTTTCTGAACAGCTTCTTCAACAGACAATTTCTCATTCTTCACTGGGTCTATGATAAATCCACTAGCTGCTTGTGCTTCTAACAATACAAGCCCCGTTCCAGTTTTGATCAAATTTTTCTTGAAGCCATCATATAGAGACATCGTTTCCTTTGTTCCCTCAACATACAGACCTGCAATTGCACTACTACCCCCGAGATAACCTCCAACTTGCTTTTGAACTTCATCCTGTGTAATGAGACCATCTGCAAGCTGATTGGCAACGTCTTCTTTCAGCAAACCAGATTTGACCAGATTATCGACTGTCACATCAGTGCGAATACCATGGAATGTGATGGCCTTCTTTGTCTTTTCCCTTTCATTTAGATGAATTATTTCGATGATCAATAACATCAGCTGTTCAAGGGTAATTTTTCCAGTTTTATAGTCCACCATCAACTGTTTTTTCTTGTCTTCATCTACAAGGTCACTGTCAAAAATGTCCTGTAATGTGTATTTTTTTCCAGCAAACTTTCCAAATGGCAAATCAACAGTTTTTTTCTTCAACCATTCAATGGCCTGCAGGTCTTCTGCCGGAACTGTTGTTGGCTTTAGAGGCACACCATCAGGTAGAACGCTCTGTACCGTTTCAGCTGCTTTTAGGACTGGCTCCTCACTTGCCTCTTTTGGTTTGTGCTGTTCACTCTCAGCTGTTGTAATGAATTCAATAATGTACAAAATGAGTTGGTCTTTGCTTATCCTGCCCGATTTGTAATCTTCCAGCAACTTGTTTTTATTTTCTTCTCCAATCAAGCCGCTTTGTAACAGCTCATCGAGGGATGGATTTTTACCAGCAAATCTCCCAAGCTGGACGTTAACTGTCGTCTTTTTGAGGGCCTCCACATCTTTCTGCTTCTCAGCTTTGGGCACTGGTGCAGCTGCAAGTTTTTGAGCGTCACCTGTGGCCTTGGCAACATCCTTCTTCTTTTCCTTCTGTTGAATTATATCAATAATCAAGACAATCAATTGTTCTTTGGGTATTTTGCCGGCTTTGAAGTCCATCAATAACCATTCTTTGTTCTTTTTGTCTATGAGGTCACTGTCAAAGATGTCTTGCAATGTATATTTTTTACCAGCAAATTTCCCAAATGGCAAGTCAACGTTCGTTTTCCTCAAGGTTTCAACTGCTTGCTGATCTGATAACAATGCTCCTTCAGGGACCTGTGTTGGCTTTAGTGGTATGCTATCAGGTAGGTCACTCTCCACCTTTTCTGCTGCTTTTAGAACTGGCTCATCAATTGGTTTCTGCTGTTCACTTTCAGTAATGAATTCAATTATGTACAAAATGAGTTGGTCTCTGCTTATCCTGCCTGACTTATAATCCTCCAACAATTTATTTCTCTTTTCTTCTGGAATCAAACTGCTTTGTAACAGCTCATCGAGGGATGGGTTTTTACCAGCAAATCTCCCGAGCTGGATGTTAACTGTCGTCTTTTTGAGGGCCTCCACATCTTCTTGCTTCTCAGCTTTGGGCACCGGTGCAGCCGCAAGTTTTTGAGCGTCATCTGTGGCCTTGGCAACTTCTTTCTGGGTGGGAACCTTCTTCTCTGGTCTCTTTCCTTTTTTCTCTTTGATTGGAAGGAGAGTGAGACCGGTGTTTGGGTCGATGATGCAACGCTGCATTTGTTCCATGTACGTCAGATTTTCTTCTGTGTTGGGATCAAAAAAGCCTTTGGTGTCATCGCTGGGATCAGATAATATCTGGTTCATTTCCTCATCAAAGAGTCCTCTCTTGTACGCCGCTTCCACGGGAAGTCTATGGCTGGCCTGGGGGTCGATGATGCCTCCTGTAGCAATCTGGGCTTCAAGGAGTCGAATTCCATGTTGTTTTAAAATCAATTTATTTTTCATGGCCTGAAACACAGAAAATGTTGCACCAGAGAATTTATCCTTGTATCCTGTCACTGCACGCTCTGCAGAAAGAAGCTTGTCTTTGTATTCTGGACCCACGACTCCTTTCTGAACAGCTTCTTCAACAGACAATTTCTCATTCTTCACTGGGTCTATGATAAATCCACTAGCTGCTTGTGCTTCTAACAATACAAGCCCCGTTCCAGTTTTGATCAAATTTTTCTTGAAGCCATCATACAGAGACATCGTTTCCTTTGTTCCCTCAACATACAGACCTGCAATTGCACTACTACCCCCGAGATAACCTCCAACTTGCTTTTGAACTTCATCCTGTGTAATAAGACCATCTGCAAGCTGATTGGCAACGTCTTCTTTCAGCAAACCAGATTTGACCAGATCATCGACTGTCACATCAGTGCGAATACCATGGAATGTGATGGACTTCTTTGTCTTTTCCCTTTCTTTCAGACGAATTATTTCAATGATAAATATCATTAGCTCCTCCAGTGAAATTTTTCCAGACTTGTAGTCTCTCATCAGCTGGTCCTTCTTGTGCTTATCAATGAGATCCCCCTCAAATATCTCTTGCAATGTGTACTTTTTGCCAGCTAAACTTCCAAATGGTAAGTCCAAAGTTGTCTTTTTTAGATTCTCCACGGCCAGTTCTTCAGAGGAAATGTGCGGACCCTCCTTTTGCGGAATCCCAACTGCTGGTGTAGGTACGTCTGGCCTCAGCTCAGTTTGTGGGATGGTTTTGTCTGTTTGTTTTTCTGGCTTTCGTTGACTCGCCTCAGCTTGCTGAATTATTTGCACAATGTACATTATTAATTGCTCCATGGTGATATTCCCAAGCTTGTAGTCCTCTAAAAGTTGCTTTTTCTGTCCTTCATTGACCAATCCACTTTTGAATATATCTTCAATGGATGGCTTCTTCCCAGCAAATCTTCCGAAGTGAATGTCAATTGTGGTTTTAAGACTCTCAGCTATCTGTTGCTCTGCAGGCTCTGGAATTGGAGCCGATTCATATTTTTGTGGTTTTCTCTTGACTTGGATTATCTCAATGATGTAAAGTATCAGTTGTTCGAATGTAATCTTTCCTGACTTATAGTCCTCCACCAATTTCTTCTTGTTGTCTTCATCAATCATACCACTTTGGAAGATTTCTGCGACTGAGAACTTTTTGTCTCCGTGCCCTCCAAAAGGAAGTTCAACTGTTGCTTTCTGGAAGTTTTCCGAAAGCTGCTTTTCCGATATAACCGCATGTTCTAATTTCTGAGCAGGAACAGGTGCAACGGCATCTTCAACTTTCTCCTTGGCTGCCTCTTCTCTAGCCTTCTGGTCTTCTCGTCTTTTAATGAACATTATAATCAGCCGAATCCACTCTTGAATCGTGATCTTACCCGATGTGAAATCTTTCATTAATCTGTCTTTGTCTTCATCTGAGATCAGGTCACTTGCAAATATCTCTTCCAAAGTCATTTTCTTTACGGGTGAGCCTTTTATTGTTATATCCACATTGGTTGTCTTTAGTGTTTCTTTAATGCTTTCATGTGTGGCAGTCTGGAGCTGCTGCTCGGTCCCCTGTACCACTGCTTCGAGGGTGGCCTTGTCTCCAACATCTTTGACTTCATGGACTTTGAGTGGAAGCAGACATAGGCCTGTGTCTGGATCTGTTATGCAAGTTTTCATGAGCTGCAAGTACGTAAGATTTTTGGTCGTGTTTGGATCAAAGAATCCCTTCGTGTCATCACTCGGATCCAATAAAGCGGCATGCAATGTTTTATCAAAGAGGCCCCTTTTGTAGGCGACCTCAATAGGAAGTCTGTGGCTGTTCTGGGGATCAATTATTCCTCCCGTGGCAATTTGAGCTTCAAGAATACGGATTCCATGTTGCTTCAAAATAATTTCCTTCTCCATCGCTTCAAATAACGAGATGGTTTTTTTCGTGATCGGGTCCGTGTAACCCGTGACTGCGCGCTCTGCCAACCTTAGTTTCTCTTGATATTCTGGACTCACAAGGCCCTTCTGGACAGCTTCATCTACAGACAGCTTCGTATTGTTGAGTGGATCAATCATAGAACCCGTCGCTGCTTGAGCCTCCAGCAATACCATTCCCGTCCCCAGAGTGAGCAGGTTCTTCTTTATTGCCGCATCTATTGGCATTTTTTCTTTTGTGGCTTCGACATAGAGTCCTGCGATGCTTCTGCCACCCCCTAGATATCTTTCAATGGACGGTGAAACGTCAGTCACTGACTTTGTCCCTTCTATGAGCTGCTCGGCTGTGTTTTCGTCGATGATTTCAGATTCTACGAGCTCTTCAAGTGTAACTTCCTGGCGAAGGCCATTGAATGTTATCTCTTTTTTCTTACGCTGCTTCTCCTTTTGTTGCAGGAACTGAATGATGTAGATGTAATACTCATCCATTGTTCTTTTCCCAGACTGGAAGTCAACCAGGAACATTTTCTTCTCTTCATCAGTGAAGTAATTTGAGTGTAGGAGTTCCCATATTGTCCAGTTGCGGCCTTTGAAAGTCTGCGGTACTTTTGCATTCTTCAATGTCTCTTCAAGTTTCTCCTCTTGACTCTGACTGTTCAGCTGTGCTGTAGCCTGAAAAGCAAAAAAAAAATGTTTTTGTTTATTTGTATCACACTGGCAACTGACATGGACTTTATTGTAAAAATATCTGGCGCAATGATGCATCGAATCATCCTAAGCTGATGATAAACACATCAAATTTGGCTGTGCAAGAATCCACGCTATTTCAATGCGCATGTCGTACGTGGTGGTTCATGTGATCCTTGCAGCCCACCACAATATTAAAAAATAACCAACAAGCAACAGTTCATCGCATAGCCATGGCAGGGGGGTGATGAAGAGTTATGCCTGCATAATTAGTTTTGTTTGGCAAGTAATTAAAACTGGAGTTGTTTTTTTACATCTGTCCTGACTTGCTAAACAAAGGCATGCATTTTATGTAGTTATCGCACTTCAATGATAAGTAATTTGGAATGTCGCATGACATTTATTTTTCACACTTGCATGATGTCGGTGCTGGGTGTAAAAAAATATCAGACTTGACCGGTGGCGCTCAGTGACGTACTGAGGATTTATTTACTAAGGCCTCAATGAGTCTCTTAAGATCCCTATGAATATTAATGTTCCTGTTGTTGTTTAATGAGAATTGATTCATACGTTCAATTACTCTTGCAAAGTTTTTTGCACAATTGAGATAATATATTGATATATGTTTGAAGTAATTTTTCTCTTCATTGCTTTAGACGCAAGATTATCCCACGCACTATGTTGAACTTCTTTCGCACCGTATACAATCAACCGTGCTAATCAGAGGTGTGGGAAAGGTGATATGGAATGAAGATCGATTGGGACCTCCCTTGCCAGTATCAAAATATAAGAATAGGTTTGACCCTTTCTGGCAATAAAACAGGTGTTAAGATGTTAAAACACCAAACGAGGACCTTTTGCAAGGAATCATGTCTGCATTAATCACATATACTTGTGGTGAACATGTAAACAAAAAAAAACATGCTGTGGGAGTATATGCATTGTCTTTGAAACATATACTACCAGAGCATGTGTTTTGTTTGCATGTTCACCACAAGTATATGCGGTTAATGCAGACATGATTCCTTGAAAAAGGTTTCAGTTTCACAATCACACATGCAGAGTGAGTGCGACGGCACGCACCTGTTCAGCGTCTTGAATGCGCTTGAGGTCGTCGCTCAGGAAGCCCACTTGCTGCTTGGCGTGGCCCAGTATTGTGCCGTATCTGCCCACCAGGTCTGACCTCTGAGATTGAAGATAAATGAAATCAGGACACTCATGAAATAAGTGCGCAGACAAACTGTCGGTGTGTGTACAACCCCTGAATATTTCGATTTAAAGCTTTCGTGACTGCAAGGATTCATCTTCTTTGGTTCTTTCGGTAAAGTCACCACGTAGAATGAGAATAAAATAATAAATTGATAGATTGTGGCCGAAACGTCGTGAGAATTTTATCGTGTTATTTTATTTTATCAATTTATTATTTTATTCTCATTCTACGTGGTGACTTTACCGAAAGAACCGAAGAAGATGAACCCCTCAATATTTTTTTAAAAGCAGTTATATTTCTGGGACCCATAGGTAAAACACAGCTGAACGTTGAATGATAGACAAGGCCAACAACTTGAAACTGGCAAAAGGGTCCCATAGATATAGCTGCTTAACCCATGCTATTAATGCTCTGGTCTTTGCCTTGTCCTTGTACTGGTCGCTCTTTGTGGGCTTTGGTCCAGCCCTGGTGAGGCAAAGCCATAAAAGCGGCTCTCTCTGGTGTTGGCCAATCAGCATCAAGGACAGTGGCAATATTATCAAAGCAAATTTGTTTGCATTTTTGTACCACAAGTACATGTGGTGAATGCAGATTTGATGCCTTGTGACTATTTGGTGTTTGAATATCTTAACACTATGGGACCTTATTGCCAGTTTAAAAGTGATTACAATTTAAGATTAGGCTTTTCCATTTCTGGAAATGAAAGAGTTGTGTTAAGATGTTCAAACACCAAATAGAAACCTTTCACAAGGCATCATGTCTGCATTAGCCACACGAACTTGTGGAAAAACATGAACAACAAAAAACATCTTGTTATAATATACATTCTCTTTGAAACCAATTGGCCTACACCGGAACAGCCTTCTTTTGTGGCCTTGTATCACCAGTGTTAGACTTGAGGCATAACATGCAAACAAACATGCTCTGCTCTATGACATGCTTAAGCGCTAACAATTCCCCATGCTGAGAATGGACCCTTTTGAGATGCCTGAAGAGCGAGCGAATGCTGTTGTGTTTGCAATTTGTCAGCATGCTCCGGCATAACGTTGTACCGCTTTGTTCAAATCTTCGGCCACGTTTGAGCCCGCTGGCCACTGCGCCGGTGTTTTCAGCTGCTTCTCGACGGAAGTCCGATACGTCGACACTCTCGTGTCGTATTTCTGTAGAAAGACAAACGTGCAAGCATCAAACAACGTGCAGTCTTTCATACGACCATGTCGGCAGGGGACCAGGGCGGTAACGTGCGAGGTGCAAAAGTTGTTGCGCTGCCAATTTTTTTTTAAATGGGGTGAGTTCTCAAGCGGGTAACGTTAATTACGCGACAACCCATTCAACTTGAGGCTCAGCTGGCCGAGTAGGGAGCTCCTGGCCTGCCGGGTTTGAGCACATAGGTTCGAACCTGACCTTCATTTGACCTGCTCAGGTGGCTCAGCAGCAGAGCGAACGGCTCGCATTCAGAAGGTTGCGAGTAAAAATTCTGGTTTGGGGGTTGACTCGGCCCATAATGCTCCCCTCCGGGGTAGATACAAAATAATAACTTTAATCCTACGGATTAGACTCACCCCTTCCCTAGTGCAGTGGAATTTCTACCACTGGCTCACGGCGGTAAAAGGGGGAAGAGTTAGCCACCTGTAACCACACGAACATTCAAACGGGAAAAGCTGCAGTGGAATCTGGAATCTGCGGATAAGCACGAGAAAGCCCTCCAAGAGTCATACCTGCACGTGGGATGCACATTCTTCTGCACTCTTCCTGCACTCATCCACCTTGTTTTGCGCTTTCTCCAGCTCGTCAACCAGCGCCTGCAGCACAAGCAGGTGTTACGGCACTGCCAACACAGCACTGCGCATTCCCAACCTTGCGACGTCCTGCAAATGCCGCCACTGCCGACGGCCTTGGGATGTGGTTGTCCTTGCAAAATTAATTGATTAGCTCACAAGGGTCCTGACCTGCTGAAGTAAGAGTCTGTGTGTCTGTCTGAGGAGAGGTGCACGTGTCCAATGTGTGTATTCACAGGAGTTTATTCTGAGATAGTTACACTTGCAATCTATTTCACAAAACATATGAAGCACATACGAATAAACAACAATACAAAAAAGAATTCTGACCACTGATGATCAATGATGTCCATTATGTGTTTAATGATTTTCCACTCTCAAGAGATTTGAATACCTGTCATAATTTTGAATAATTCAATTCATTGATTAATCATGGGAAAAATGTGTAGCAAAAGGTCAAACTATACTAAAACATGTTATTTACCAAGTAAAGCTCACCGAGCTATGAGCTTATTTTTTTAGAGGCGACCTGGCCACACATGGTAGCTCATCGAAGTGGTTTATCATCACATGTGGGAATTTACAATAGCAGGCAAATAATCTAAATGCGAAGAAAGATTCACACGAGTTCACGCGGACACCAAATATACAACGGGACTCGTCAGAGTCGGGATCGAACCCACGACCTCCTGCGCACCATGCGAGGGGACATCCGCTCGCGCACTGCGGCGCCCAAAACACTGACCTTTTGTTGTTCCAGCAGCAGAGTGACGCTCTGGGAGTCCGGTTTATCTGCAGCTAGCAGCCCCTTCTGCTTCTCACCACTCCGCTCCAGCAGCTGCATGAGCCAAAGATGGATCTCATGGAACTTAGCCGTTTTCTTGGACAGTGCCTCCAGGTCACCCAGCCTAGACGGTTGGAGCAGGCGGAATAAACATCATAAGCGTCCCCATCGTCACCATCGTCATCATTATTGTTCCTGCACCTCCGATTAGCACGGTTGCCTACGTACGATGCGAAAGAAGTTCAACGTACAAACATCATCATCACCCTCACTGCCACCATCATCACTACTACTATCATCATCATCATCATCGTCGTAACCGTCACATACACCGACTGCACAATAGGGCACACTTGTACACAATAGGAAATTAGGGGTGCATCAGATACCAACCGAAATTCAAATGCTTACGAAACAGACGCACATCAACGTGAGTTTTAACCGCCGCTTCCATCATCGCGCTGCATCATCCCCATCTCAATCCACCTCCTGTCCAATTCTCTACCGCAAGCGAGCACCCCCCAACCCCCAGCGCCCGCCCTCCCCTTCGCCATCGGCCGAGCGCCAGCACCGAGGGACATCGTCGGGGTTTTTATTTGTTGCCGCTGCCGGTTGCCCTCTGCTCACCTGGCGGCGAGCTCCGTCTGCAGCTGCTTGGCCCGGCCTCGGAGCCGAGCGTCGCGCTCCCTGTAGGAGGCGAGGTCGGGGTCCGCGTGGCCCCCGGCCGCCTGCGCCAGGGGGCCGTCCGCACCCTCGGCTCGCTGCAGCGCCGCCCCGGCTGCATCCAGCGCGGTCCCCAGCGGCTCCGCCGCGTCGGCGGCAATGGCCTGCGGAGGGAAGGGCCGCACGCGGCGGAGATGAAAGCTCGGACCCGGGAGGTGACAGCAGTGGTGGAGGCGGTGGTGGGGGGTGGTGTAGCGGTGTAGCGGTCAGCGCGCTGCGCTACAAGCCTGGCGGACCCAGGTTCGATTCCCGGTCACGGCCAACGCCGGTGACTATTGTCCGAACTGATCCCGGGGCCTCTCAAATGGGTACCTGGCGCGGTGTGTAAACGTCGCCACTCGGGGACAAAGGCGGCTGGGCGTCGTGCTGGCCACTCACCCCCACGTGTGCTGTGCCGGCCTTCATAGGTGCTTCCTAACAGCACTTGCCCCTACAGTCTGTTCAGGCAACACGGGGGATCTTTGTATTTGTTTGGAGGTGGTGGTGGTGGAGGCGGGGGCACCAGAGGGGAGGGTTTGCTGCGGTGCCCGTTCGAAAAGCATGGCGAACGATGACAAAAGTGAACAGCAAGTGAAAATATTTTGCGTAGGGGTTTGGGATAAACGTGGCGGTCGGGATAGTGCTTGGGACTGGTCAGTTGGTTGTGGTTAGGGCTAAAGTTAGGGTTTGGTTGGCTAGTGTGATCTGGGCTAGAGGCAGGGATAGGATCTTGCTGGCTAGCATGCTGAGTGTTAGGGCTAGAGAATGGGTGGTTAGTGTGGATAGAGCTCGTGGTAGGACAAGCATTTATTTGGCAAGCATGTTGAGATGGATGCTAAGGTTATGGTTTTGCTGGCAAGTGAGCTGAGTACTATGGCTAGTGTTGGGGGGTCTGGTTTGCTGGTGTGGCTGGGGTTAGCGGTAGGGCTAGTGCCTCGTTCGCTTGTGTATTCCACCCCTAACAATGTGCACCTCCTCCCTATTGCCAGGCATGTGACCTTTTAACTTTGTATTTTTCATGATGTGATGCAGCATGACATGACATTTTACGACGATTGTCGCGATATCAGTTTCCCATAACTTTGTGATTGTTTGCCACATGCATCTTGCATTAGTTTTAAGCTCTGCGTAATTTCAGAACAATTTCACAGTTTTTATTTAATTTTTTATTCGTCATTGGTAACCGGGCTGCGACCACCAACTTGATGACCTGCTTTAATCACAAGCGCCCGCTTGGATTCGGACCCCCCTCAGCGGCGCAAGCGTTAGTGCTCCGACCTCTGAGCCACCCGGGCCATTTCGTTTGTTTGTGAAAGGGAAGGCGTGAACGTGACGGGAGGACCTTGAGGTTCCTGACGGAGGCGTTGAGGGCGTCGGGGTCCATCACAGCCGCGGGCTCCTGGGCCAGTCTCACCTCCAGGGCTCCGAGGCAGCGCTCGGAGTCCCGGCTGGAGCTCACCACCTCTCCCATGGCGCGCAACCTGGCGTCAGAGAGACGGCGCGTGAATCGGAATTATAATCTTTATTTATACCGGAGTCGGGAGGAGGAATCCGATGAGCTAAGAAGCTTTTTTTTTTTTCCCCACAGATGTCCAGTAGGGGCGGCTCAGCGTCAGCAACGTCACATCAACAAACTACCATTTTTTTTATTATTACAGCAAGATAAAGAAAAGGTCAGGAAAAGTCGCCGGGAAATAAATAAAGTACAGAAGTGCAAATTGCACAGTCCCAGCCCACACCAGGACAACGCACGCTCCCTCGATTACATCGCCCACTGAAATTGGTGCCCGGCTCACCTGCCGGGCTGCTGCCTTCCCGCTTTGTCCGTGGCTCCTAGTAACGAGCGACTAACTGGCAAACCGGCTAACCTCCCCCCCCCGGGGAGGATACCTCTCTTAAGAGCCCCTCGTCTTACCGTTGGACGAGCAGCAGCAGCAGGGCGTCGGCGCGCTCCCTCTGCTGGGCGGCGAGCGGCAGCTCTGAGCGCAGGGCGCCGCTGCTGGGCGGCGCGGGGCTCAGAGCCAGCAGCGCGGCGCCCTCGTGCTGCAGCTGCTCCAGCTCCCCGGCCAGCGCCTCCAGCTCCTTCTGCAGATCCTACACACACGAAGGTCCCCCCCCCCGCCCGTCACCCACCCCGAATAGCCTTCGACAAGACTGCTGGGACGAGCGCTGTGAGCTAGTTGCACCTATGACGGGGGACAGCACGGAACATCTATCCCCCCACCGCCACTTCGGAAACACGAAGGGGGGGGGGGGGTGGGGGGTGGCTAGCATCACGCCCGGGCGCCGTTGTCTACCTAAGTAGTGGAAATTTGTGGCCGAGTCGACCTAGGGGAGGCCCAGTCGACCTAGGGGAGGCCCAGGACCGGTTCAGATATTCCTCGTCGGTGTTGGCCACGAGCGGGAATCGAACTCGGTGTCACCGGGTTCATAGAGCAGTGTTTTAACCGCTGCGCCACCGCCCCCACGTGAACATATACACAGGGACATACACGCAGACATATTACATACGTGGTGGAGTACGAAGGTGCGTTGTGGAAACGGCGTGATTACATGATCACACAGACAGTACGGGTTATCTTGGGTCAGCCTGTAGCCAAGGCGAATACAGTGCAGGTTATGTTGGGGCAATTAAGCTGGGAGAGCCGTGGACGGCTGTGATTGGTTGGTGCTGTTGCCGGGGCTGGAGAGGCGTCTGGAAGTCTGGCGAGAAACAGGTGCGAACGTCACGCGGAGCGCCGTTGGGACGCGGACTAATTAATTGGGGCGTAATGAGAGCGGGAATAAATTGGGGGGTCGGCAATTGGAGCGGGAGTTGGAGTTGGGAGCTGGACGAGGCAAGACGTGGAGTTTGGAGGAGAGTTTGGAGACAGTGGGGGACAGAGTTTGGAGACAGAATTGAAAACGGAGTTTGGAAACAGAGTGTCGAGCGAAGCTGAAGAAGAGGAGCAGCTAGCAGTAGGGAGAGCGTAACGATAGCGGAGCTGAAGAAGAGAATAGCTAGCAGTAGGGAGAGCGTAACGATAGCGGAGCTGAAGAAGAGAAGTAGTTAGCAGTGGAGAGAGCGTAGCGATAGCGGAGCTGAAGACGCTGTGTGCGAAGACGCTGTGTGTGGAGTTGCTGTGTGCGAAGACGCTGTGTGCGGAGTTGCTGAGTGCGGAGTTGCTGAGTGCGAAGACGCTGTGTGCGAAGACGCTGTGTGTGGAGTTGCTGTGTGCGGAGTCGCTGAGTGCGGAGTTGCCGAGTGCGGAGTCGCTGAGCGCGGAGTAAGCGAAGTAATCGTGGGGAGTGGAGAGACAAAGGTGGCGAGCAAGTCGAGTGAAGCACGGCGAGCGAGCCGTGGCGACCAGGATACCGTGGAATGTGGAGGACATGCTGAGAGTTGTAAATAAAGCGGTGTTCGAAGAAAGACAGAAGTTGTCCGAGTGAAATCGAACACTACACATACGTAGACACGAGACATTAAAAGGTTGCAAGTTCAAATACTGGTCGGGGTATTTTCATCATTCCTCCGGGGACGATAGAACGAGTACCACTTTGTGGGAGAGAAAAGCAGTGGTGGTCCCGTGGAGAGACTCGGGGTGCTTTGGTCACAGTGAGGGTCGGAAAGGCGAGTCAAGCTGGATGGAAGATAGATTTTTATTCGAAGAGAGAGAGCTTGGGCGAGTGAGCGGGCGAGCGTGCCGAGTGACCGCGTCCCGCGGGGCGGGCGAGCGTGCCGAGTGACCGCGTCCCGCGGGGCGGGCGAGCGCGCCGGCACCTCGTGCTGTGCGACGCGAGCGCCGCTGTGCTGCTCGTGGTCTCCCTGCAGGCCGCCACGGCACCCGGCCGCCACGCGCTCCTCCTTCTCTCCCAGCCGCCTGCGGAGGTCTCTCAGCGCCGCCACGCAGCGAGCGCACGCTGCCTCGCTCTGCTCCTCTGCTCCGGGGCACGCGCTGGGGGGGGGGGGGGGGGGGGGGGTGAGAGCGACGACGTCGGGTCAACGTTGGGGAGACAGCGCCGCGCGACGGCGGTTATCGGAGGTCAGAACCAGCGTTCGATTCGTCAACTCAATGCGCGTTTTCGCGGCCAACGTTACGAATCATACGTGATTTTTGGGGTTAGGCCATGGTAGTAATGATCTCACCGCTGTGCATGCCGGCCTTTAGCTGTGCCACTAGAGGATGCTCACCGCTGTGCATGCTGGCCTCCAGCTGTGCCACGTGCTGCTTGCAGGTGGACACCTCCGCCTCGGCCTGTGCCGTCTCGGCATCGCCAGGCGCCTGCGAGGCGGCGCGCTCCTCCAGGAAGGCCTGCCGACGGCGCTCCAGCTCCTTCAGCGCCTCCTCCTTCTGTCCCAGTGCCAGCTTCTTCAGCTGCAAAGACAAAGATCCCCCCCGTCCGTCTAGCCTCAACAGACTGCTGGAGCAAGTGCGGTCGGCGAGCACCTACGAAGACCGGCACGGCACACGAAGGGGGTGGGTGTTGGCCAGCACCACGCCCGGCCGCCTTTGTTCTCCCCAAGTGCCGCACCGGGTACTCACTTGAGGCCGAGTCGACCTAGGGGAGGCCCATTACTGGTTCAGATAATCGTCACTGGTGTTGGTGGCTATGAGCGGAAATCGTGGACCATGCCGGCCAACACAGGTGCTGCTCGGCGCTGCAATGTCAATGGATTGTACCTTTGTACAAGTCAGTGGTAGGGGCCCAATGCCGTGCCATGGTACTAGAGGCAGTATCTCATAGACCCTGCGTTCAAGCACTAGCCAAGGCCAGGTTGTAGCATCATTAATATCCTAGATCAACGACATTTGCCTGTATTTGCCTCTCATCTCCTGTTTACAATCCTGAGCAAGTGGTGGAAATTCCACATTCCTCTTGTGTGGATGAGTCGGATCATAAGGCAACAGTAGAACATTGGAATTCGTATCTGGTGTCGCCTTGACAAACTCCACCACAGTTTTTATACGAGTGCTTGTCATAAGTTGCAAGAGACCAGCACTGATTAGCGTGCCTGTCCATGCGAAGACTCGCCACGCACACTCACAATGTATTTTGACCCACGCCGGCCCGACATCTTGGAAGAGGTCCGATTTCCCACACTTTGACCCCACCACAATCAAACTGCCAATCGACTGTGATGTATGTTGACAGGTGAAAATCCTTCACACTCAGGTTCACTTTCAATGTATCTTGAATGCACATGCCTTCTTAGTCTCTTAAGTAGAGTTGTTCAATTTTAGGAAAGTAGCCCATTGCTTCAACTGCCGTGCCCGCCGGTGAGATTCAACCTATAACTTCGAATTTTCAACTATTTAAACGTTGTATTTATTATTTTACTAGGTAAGTCCCACTGAACTATATGGCTCTTTTTCAGAAGCGACCTGGCCACATGATAGCACAACGAAGTGGCTTATCAAGTGGAAATTCATAGCAGCCAAATACTCTAAACGCACATTTCTAAATGTGGAGGGAAAACCCGAAGGGCCTGGAGAGAAATCCACGTGACTGAGGGGAGAACACGCAAACTCCAAATATACAGGCGTCAGGGTCCGGATCGAACCCACGACCTCCTGCCTACCAAGCGACGTAATTAACATCTCGCCACTATGCCACCCCACCCCCCCCCCCGCCACCACCCCCCCCCCCCCCACAATTCCAGTGGATTTGCAAGCCCAATGTGCCCCGACCATTACACCAAGCGCGGCACAGGTAACCACTGGCTCGTGCACAGTGTCACTTATTGGCCGGTAAAGGTCTCACCGTGGGAAGGTCCCAAGCACGGATGATCTTGGTGTATTGCAGCAGGTGGTGCCAGGCCAATAAGCTGCGCAGGTCTGCCGTCTTGCCGTTCCAGGCTGCGAGCAGATCCTTGTGCTGCTGTCTTAGTCTGTGCCGGGGGAATACAAAAATAAGTAATGTTTCAAATTTTTTTTTTTTAAACACGCTTTAATGAAATGTACCGTACTAGTAATGGAAGAACTCCACGGCTCCAGGAAGTGGCCCCGAAGCTTGCAACAACGTAAGGGGCCGTGGTCAATTACAGCCAACGTCAGTTTACCGTGGGCAATTCGACCCAAGCCAAAACATAACATATAAAAAAGATTGTTTAAAAAAAAAATATTTGATTTTTTATGATATAATATGGTATTGTCATCAGTATGACATAAGTATACCAGGTTTGCAGTCTTTTTTTCATGAATGCGTTTGAACGATGGTGGAAAGTGTTGTCTTGTTAAACTACGTCTTTAAAACTCAAAACTACTTACATGCAGTACCTCTATTTAAATACACTATCGAAAAAATAATTTACACCCCTCTGTCAATCATCGCGTTTCTCACTGTGGATTTGTGAACACACTTTGTAAACAGTACATAAAATAGTACGCGTTTTCAATGCGCTGTTCATATTGCCACAAGCGTTTATACCAATTTTACTCTACAACAATGACAACGACAACAACAACAATAACAGACAGAGCGAGTTAAATAAAAGCGTGTAAAAACACAAACACTTATATCACCGTGCACGGTACGGGTATTGCTACGCGGAGTTCTATGCTCAGTGGGGTTGGCTCGCCAACTGGGGTGGTGTTGAAACTCGCTGGCGGTGAACCAAATGGAAACTGTTGCAAGTACTCAAATCACGCAGCTGCCCGTTGCATTGTAAAATGGAAAAACACAGGATAGCGACAATGCGGTTTAGTTTCTTGAGAGATTCAATGTGTTTCTGTCGACCCACCGATATCTGTCTCAGTTTATTCCACGCAATTTTCTAATCGATGAACCTATCAATGACCAAGTCACAAGATTATTTTAAGATTGTGTAACCTAATTACTCTGTGCAAAGGACATTCCAAAAAGCTGTCTTTGCAATAAAATAAATGTCGTCAATGCCAATAAAATATCACAAGGAACAATTGAAACACGTTTGTAAACAAATGGTGCAATTAAAATGTTTGACCTTTCAAATGGAAAGCCTTTTTTTTCTGAATTCTAAAACGTAAACATTCCCACATTAATACTGACTGATAGTTACCGACTGACGCACATAAATCACGGGTGTTATTTTTTTATGCTTTCCAACGAAAGTTTGTGCATCAGCTCTCCCTGTCCATCTGTAACAAGGGGGGGGGGGGGGGGCACACTAACTCTCATAGAGATGCTCCAATATGAACGCAACTCTAGTATAACGCTGGGTTACCATTACGGACGCACCCTAACGAAAACTGGTGAACTTCATCAAAGGGTTGCCCAAAACATTGGAGACACAAACCAGAGCAAAAAAAAAAAAAAAACCTAAACTTCTTGCAAACATGCAAACACATTTGACCCAAACATTTATTCACCCTATCGTAAAAAAAAAAAAAAAATCGCAGAACCTATTTTGCCCTCACAAGCTACTCATCAGCTTCCCTGCTGCAAACTAAACACGTCCGAAGACAAAACGCTTGTTTGGAGAGCGTCGCGTGATCTGTGCGTCGTACGCGTGATTCCCCCCCCCCCCCCCCCCCCGTTCCCCAACCGCTATCGCTGTCGCCTGCAGGGCAGCGGCAACAAGGACGAGCTCCACGGCCGACGACATTTGGAGACTCACCGCTCCGCGGCCTGCAAAGCGTCTGGGTTTGGCGAAGGCAGCACGAAGCACACGGAGGGCACGGTCGCGTCCTTCCTGCCGACGCTTGCCACGCGCCACCGCGTCGCGTCCGAGTTGTCCTTCAGCTCGTACTCCTGATCCTTCTTCACCGTCACCTGCAAGGGGCACCGCGGTGGCTAGGAGATGTTAACGGCCTCGCCTGGTGTACAGGAGGTTGTGGGTTCGATCCCGACCCTGACGCCTGTTGTATATTTGGAGTTTGCGTGTCTCTCTTCCTGTGGCCGCGTGGATTTTTCTCCGGGTCCTCCGATTTGTCCCTCCACATTTAGGAATCAACATCACGCATTTTTTTTTATATTTTGCTGCTATAAATGTTCACGTTAATAGGCCACCTCGTTGAGCTATCATTCGTGGCCAGCTTGCTTCCGGAAAAGAGCTCTATCGTTCAGTGGGCCTTACCCGGTAAAATAAAAATAAGTAGTTTAGCTTAGTTTTAGAATGGAGAGGTAAAGGCGTAGCCCTGTAATTCCTTGTTCGCTCCACTGCTCACACAAAGGGCCTCCACTGGAGGAAGCTCAAGAGACCCCCCCCCCCCCCAGAGGGTACTTTGCCATACTCTTCCACACTGGACGTCTTGGAAGAGGCGGGAGCACCCACACTTTTAACCCCACCACACGTGACCTGCCAATCGACTGTGCTGTGAGCATTTATTTGTCTGGATGCACAAAGGTGGTATGAAGGGGTGGTGGGGGGAGGTTAACCTTCCAACGTTGTTTTGGGAGATCGAATCAAGCCAGTGACCTCTGGGATTGCAAGTCCAGTTTGCTAACCATTACACCACCACAGCGTCCGAATGTAAAGGATCATCAGATAAATCCCCAATCAGCACCACAGCTCACGCCTGAATAGACGACACAAAGTTAATTGATTAAAGCAATCGGAAAAAAATATTAGATATTCTGTTGCTAATCCGCAGTGCGGTCCCAAGTAACAAATACAACTTGCAATTATATTGCACCCAATGATGTAATGAAATGTTTTAGAATTGCAGATTGTTTTAAGCTTTGGGGACCCCAAAATTTAAACTTGGCCCTATATACCGTGGAATTATATTGCACATGTTGTTGTAAGCGGGTTAATGAAATATATGGATCTGTCAAAGCAAAGGTGCAAAAAAAATTAGGTAACGTACAGAAATTGCCAAATATATTTGTTTCATTAACGTCATCATTGGCATTTTTACCGAACTTCCGGATAAAGGATTCTCAGTGTAAACTTGCTCTCCAGGGTAAGTGTCACGCAGACCATCTCAGAGTAACTCGCTCACAAGGGTGGTGCCTCTGGAAAGAATTGGACAAGCAAAATTGGCAAAAACCTCTCAGCAGCAGCTTTTGGCTAACCATCGAAGAAAGACGGCCACCGCATCGCGCGACGCTTTTTAGAAGCGCTTCGGCTGCCGTCTGGAACGCTCTTCCTTCCGATATTAGGAAGCCACCGGAGCAGTGCACTTTTAAATCTTGATTGCAAACTCATTTCTTACGAACTGCTTTTTGTGTTTAGTTTGTTCTTCCCTCGCACCTCCAATTAGCATGGGTGGCTACCTACGGTACAAAAGAAGTTCAAACATGCATACATCTCAGCTCCTGTTACGTTCTCACACTTCCACACTGCTTCGTCTGCATCTTCCCATTACAAACCCTCCAGCCTCTCTGCGTACCACTCTCCGCTTCCCCAGAACAGTGTCGTCAACCCACGTGTGCTGACTGCTACAAAAGAAGTTCAACATACATAGAGACAGTCAAACGAAAGCAATATACGGCGGCGGCCTACCTCAGGCTGCGTGTAGTCTGTGATGGCCGTGATGGTGACAGGGCCCTTCAGGGGGTGGCCGGGCCTTCGTGGCTTTAGATTGAGCACCGACTGGGACCTTCCCACCAGCTCGTGCACCTTCCCCTTCAGAGGCACCAGGCGCTGCTCCGTCTGGCACAACAGTGGCGCGACAAACGGCACGGTCATCGTCAACGTTGCAATCATCTCTCGACTTGGGAGTGCATTCTGGGGTTGTCGGTCGGTGATTTGATGCTCTTGGCTGGCGCAAGGAGCTGAGGAAAGATCACAGCTTAAAGGACGCGACCTGGGCTTGGCTGTTTTCACTCCAACGCTGTCCTCGTGACAGCACGGTCCCTTCACCTGATGAAGGCCACTTGTGTTGTGGCCGAAACGTCGTGATTTTTGTTATTTTATTTTTTACCTACGTGACTTTACCGAATAGAACCAAAGAGTATGGATCCTTGCAGTCACGAAAGCTTCAAATCTAGAATTGGTATTTATTTGTTTACTTAAATTTTATCGTTTGTTGATTTCTACACTTAAAAAACCTTCTTCACAGCTTCTTTCTTTGGGGTTTATTATTAAAGTCCAAAGTGGCGCAGAAAATATTTGGACATAAACACTGAACACAGAGATATTTATAAGCAACATTATTAAACTACAAAGCACCCGTGGAAAAGGTTTGAACACAAACACCAAACACAGTAACAAAAATACGCAATATTATTACAGTGCGGGGGCAGCATGGAAAAGATAAAATGTCTCCTTCCGCAGTGTCTCAGTCTTGAGTTGTCGGTGAACAGGTATGCTGCTCTGAGCAGTGGAACAAAAACAACAAGGGCAAGACAGCAGTGACAGGAAACCCGGACCATAGTTGGTGGGCCACGTGAGCGGTCCTCCTTCACCTCAGCGGGCCGCAAGCTTGAGACACGGTGCTTCTGCACTAACCACGACCCCACGCATCACCCCTAGACACACTGAGACCAGCCCACCACGTGGGGCTCCACGGGACGCAGGTTGCCCACAACCGGAATGCAGGATAATCCATTTACAGATGATGATAATTATACAAAAAAAATCTACTTTTAATGCCGCATAGACTTCACTCACTGTCGTCAAAAAACAATCGCTCAAAGGTGCGAGGAACCACAGGCAAGCAGGAAGGGAGGCGGCCCAATCATCTATCTACCAAGGTGTTATCGGCGAATTAATGAGTGTTTATATACCCCCACATTGCTTGACAGCTGATTTAATATATTGTGAAAGTGATGGCTCCGTATTATACAGGGGAGAGTGCATTGAGATTGGTGGGAGACATGTAGCAGCTCTTAAATAAATGCCTACCTCTAAGTGTAGTAAGGTGCCTATAAGTGAATGACCCTGTATGCATATATACAGCATTGTGGGGAACGATGGTGCATTGGTTAGCATACTGCACTACAAACCCTGCAACCCGAGTTCAATTCTCACTCACGACCAATAAAAGTGGTGAACATTTGAACCGGTCCTTGGCCTCCCATAGGTTGACTCAGCCTTAAATGAGTACATGGTGAATGTGTAATGATCAGCACTGGGGAATGGTGTTGGCCACCCACCCCTCGTGTGCCATGCCAGCCTTAACAGGTGTTTCATAACAGCACTTGCCCCAACCACCTGTTGAAGGCTATACTGGGGATCTTTGTCATATACTGCGTGAGGCACAATAGATCCTATATATGAACCTTATGGCAGGACCCCGGGGTCCCATAAGCCCCCGGCTCTCGCATAAACATATTATAATGTAAACAAAAACGTTGCTCTTTTTCTTAATGGGTTTGAAGGATGGTGGAAAGTATTGTCTTTTTAAACTACGTCTTTAAAACTGAAAACTAGTTACATGCAGTACCTCTATTTAAATACACTATCGAAAAAATAATTTACACCCCTCTGTCAATCATCGTGTTTCTCAGTGTGGATTTGTGAACACACTTTGTAAACAGTGCATAAAATAGTACGCGTTTTCAATGCACTGTTCATATTGTAACAAGCGTTTATACCAATGTTACTCTACAGAGTAGTGGGTCGCCGTTCCTCTTATCCGCATTGATACGAGCGGTATGTGGGGACTATGGCTTAACCGCAAAAAAATCCTATCTGCACAGATGCATACGGACAAGAGAAGTATTATCAAACAGGAGGAATTAACGGTGCAACGCATCTCATCTGTTAAATATCTGCAGGTAATAGGATTGTCATCGATTGATCCTGGCTACAGACATTGGTAGGTCACAAATAATAATGCAGATAAGAGAGCAGTTTCCCTGTATTATGCATACCGTTATGACAAATAAAGGACTTGAGTCGTGTAGACAGTTTGAGCAGCTTTGGATAAGACTTGTTATGACCCTGCCCATACCCGAGCATGGAGTGCATTCGCTTGTTCAGCTCTTCTGCGCGTTCGTGTTCGCTGCTACGCTTGGACGACAACGACAACAGAACGATCCGCGCCAGGTGGGTCGCGGTGTTTATGTGCGCGGTGGGACGGAGTCGCCAAAAATAAATTAATTAATGACGATTTTTACTTCCGTTTATTCGGGACCCCGGGGTCCCGCCATAAGGTTCATATATAAATGTGTACGCACACAGAGTATCCGCGTGTGCACGCCAGGCGAGCTGGCGCACGCCAGGCAACCAGAGCTTTGGAGGTTGGTGCTGCTGGATCACGCTTTGCACCCCGACTCGCACGACTCGACAAACTGCGGATCCGCCTATCGACTCCGTGGGGTTATCCATCGATGGATCGCGCTGCCGCACACGTAGCGAGCGAAACAGGAAAGTGGCACCCACGTGCGTCTGCTGGAGCAGGCTCTCAAGGCGTGGCACGTCGGTGGAAGCGTCGCACGCGTACGCCTGGTTCAGCGAATCCCGCGCGGCGCTCAGTTCCTTGCCGGTGTCGTCCACGTCGCGGAAGAACTGCGAAGAAGAAGAAGAGGAGGAGGCAGCGAGGTGGTCAGGTGGTTCAGGCATGAAGCGGTGCGGCCAGGGGCACCTCATCCTACCCCTTCGCCAGATCCCGCAGCTGCTGCATCGTTGCCACACTTTGACCTGTGTGTGTACGTACATATGTACACACAGTAAAACCTTGGATTGCGAGCATAATTCGTTCCGGAAACGTGTTTGTAATCCAAAGCACTCGTATATATCAGTTGTGATCACGTGACGCTCGGCAGACAAAGCGTATACGTGCTACTACTCGTATTGCAAGACCCTCGCTCGTTTATCAAATTAATATTTATTTAAAAATTTTGCTCGTCTTGCAAAACACTCGCAGACCAAGTTACTCGCAATCCAAGGTTTTACTGTACAACGTTGAACTTCTTTTGCACCGTACGTAGCCAACCGTGCTAATCGGAGTATGCGAGTCACAATTCGGAAAAACGCCGCAATCCGCCGCAAACTTATCTTCTAATCCGTTAAGGCCCGTCATTGTTCATCAGCTTCACGAAACACAATCCAAGTGGAACGACTCGATAAAAAAAAAAAATGAAATTGCTTGTCATATTGCGGTGCACTCTGTCACCTCTCGCGTCTTTAGAGGTCAGGTGACCCTACTTAGGGACAATATGCCACCAACTTGCCGTGAACCGTTTTAGTGTTTAGTTTGTTGTCGTTCCTCATTGTTGGCTACGTGCGGTGCAAAATAAGTTCTACATACATACATCCACGATTGTTTGAGTGTGGCTAATAACAGCCATCTGGGCACTGAGTTGAACGGATGAATGCCTCCCAACAAGTTTGATGTTGTCCATCTGATGCGTTCATGTTTACACGATGAATATGTGCCGAGGTCAGGGCTTCAAATAATGACACATGCACACACACACATAACAGGAGGGTTATACAGGTTTCAAACATTTATTTTGAACATATTTCTACCAAGAAATAATCATAACCGTATTTCGAATTTGAAGAATGTTTATACCAATCATATTAAAGAATATGCACTCTATCAAGTACTGTATTTGCATTGTGTGGGTATGCCCACCTCGACCAAGACATCTGGGCCAGCGTGAAAGGATAGGCCAAATACCATCGAGAGCAGCGTTCTTCATTGCAAGGCCAGCAAGCCACTGGCGGCCCCTGAGGGCCTTTAATGCAGAACCTGCCGTGCGGTCCCCTACAATACACATCACCGTGCTGTCAAACCCCAGTGGTTTAAAATGTCTCGCGGCCCCTCTGAAAATGAGTATAGAACACTGCTCTAGAGGGGCTTTGTTTATAGTTACTACACCCACACTTATTAATCTGGGTGGCCGTCGGATTCAAACCGTGGACCTCTGCAACAAGGGGGGTGTGCGAACGCGCGACCGCTAGGCCGCGTCGCCGCCCCCGTTCAATCCGAACGAGTCCACAGCAACTGGACAGCGATGCGTCCCAGCTCTGAACGCCCCGACGACAAACAGCAGAGCAGGGTATAACAGGAGGGTTGACCCTTTCTGGCAATAAAACAGGAGGTGTTAAGATGTTACAACACCAAACAGAATTCTTTGTCAAGGAATCCTGTCTGCATTAACCGCACGTACTTGTGGCGAACATGCAAACAAAACACGTGCTCTGATAATATATGAAACTGATTGGTCCTCACCAGAGACAGCTTTCTTTTGAGCCTAGTCTCACACAGCGTTAGACCAGAGGACGCCAAAAGGCGAACAGCACCAAGACAATGCCACTATCGGGACATTGAGAGCTCGGGGTGAGCAGCTACAATATGGGACCTTTCTTTCCAGTATCAAAATACAACAATATGTTTTACCCTTTCTGGAAATAAAACAGGTGTTAAGATGTTAACACCCAAATATAACAATAAAACCTATTGTTATACTTTTTGATACTGGCAAGAACGGTCCCATATTGTAGCAGAGTGGGGTGCCTGTGATCGAGGGGAGGCGGCGTTTGTAAGGCACCTGGAAATAAGCAGCGTTCTCTTGCAGGTGAGTTTCCGCACAGTCGCCGAGCTGCGTCAGCCAGGCCCACTGGGCGCCGAGCCCCTCGAGGGAAGCCTGCGGCGCGGGCCAAGAGACAAGCGGGCGAAGCATCGCGCGGCGTTAATCGAGCACACAGTTACGGGATCGGCAGAGACGATCAACGTCGAGACATTAAACCCGTGCCTTGTGACCTCTCTCCGGCTGAGTCACGGACAGGGCAAATGTACTTAAGGCGTGTAGTGACTAACTCTGAGACGATAAGACTTGGAGGCACTTCTTTATTAACGAGCCCCATCGGGGTTAACACTCTGAATGTTTAGTCCGTCTAATGTCGGCGACGCTACTCAGCCAGGGCAGTTGGTAGTCTGCCTGACTGGCGGCGCCCCGAGTTGGTGAAGACGGAGACGACGACGAGAAGAATGGTGAAGACGACGAGAAGAACGGTGACGATGGACTTCAGCAGCACGACGGGGATCCCACTCCAACAACAGCCCCGAGGTCCCCTACAGGGGCCCCTCTTAAACTGTCAACGTGGCCTCGCCCCACCCCCCGGCCACGCCCCCCTTCTAGAACCTACCAGCGGGTTCCTGGTGTGCCCCTTCTGTGACCTTTACCCTCGATCCCCCTCTCGTGTATATCCTGGCCTGCTGACGTCAGGGCTGCCGTACGCCGCAGATCCCCTTTCCTGCCAGCAGCCAGCGCTATGCCACTACACACGTAACGAATTGGCATGGAGAAAAAACGGGTTTCTAGACGACGGTTTTAAACCAGGGGTCAGCAATCGAAATGAGAGCCATTTTTTTGCCAAATTCGGTATAAACTCAATACTACAAGAGCCGCAATGCCTGTGGTGAATAGGAGACGCTGATCCTCAATAAATAGCGTCATGAAGCGGTCCTGAAAGAGCCGCATGCTGCTCCGGAGCTGCAGGGTGTCTACTCCTGGTTTAAACAAAACGATAATACGAATTCGATTTGAAGGCAAGGTGAAGTTGTCTGCACTCTCAAATGGGTATCGATCAGTGCGTATCTTCATTCATGACCCTGGGACAAGGGGCGGTATTTCCACATTACAATGGCAGGGGCAAGTCTCTCCATAGATTCCAAATGTTTTGGGCGCCGGATGGATGAACGGGTTGCATCAACCTCACTGGGATTTGAACTCGCAACCCCCTGATTGCGAGCCACTCGCTCAACCGCTGAGCCACCTTAGATTTACATGGTGTCTTAAAGGCATGTCGAGACGCTGTTTTGTGATTACCGCTACGTTACATTTCATCCAACTGGTAACAATTGAGTCGCAATCAAAGAATCAATCCCTCCTTTCATATTTCACAACGCTCGATGTGCGTTGCTTAGCTTGTACTATTAATGACTGCGTCTTGCATAATGTCTGCCTCATTTGAACCACGTCTCACTTGCAGTGTCTCTCGGTGGCCACTGCCTGTGACCTTCGTCTCGTCTGCCTTGTTTCTTCCACTGCCCAACTCGACGCACGTGAATCGTGAGCGTACGAAGCGGATTCATTCGACAGACGAGTGCACTGTTTACCCGCCTGCTGCATAAGATGTGACTATGAAGAGGATGTAGTTAACGTCTCGGCACTGTGGCGAAATGTTAACTACCTCGCCCGTTATACATGAGGTCGTGGGTTCGATCCCGACCCGGGTGATTGTATACTCGGAGTTTGCATGTTCTCTCTGTGGTCCTGTGGATTTTTCATCGGGTCCTCTGGTTTTTTCCCCCACCACATTTCGAAACGTGCGTTTAGAGGATTTGGCTGCTAGAAATTCCCACGTGATAAGCCACTTCGTCAAGCTATCATTTGTGGCCAAGGTCGCTTCTAAAAAAGACCAATATCGCCCAGTGGGCCTTACCTGGTAAAATAAAAAATAGGGAATAGTTTTTTTGTTTTACAGACGCAAAAAGCGTATTGCACTCGCACGCTACCTCAATAGTAGACTTGGCAGGGTGCTTATCTGACAACAGCTTTTCTCCCAGCTTCTTGATGTCCGCAAAAATGGGTTGCTTTTCGTTCAGCTTCTTCTGCGATGCCTGCAAAGGGGACACAATCGTTGTGCCAAGTTAATTTTCGGATGGGAAATCAATGAAAGCAATCTATTTATTTATTTATTTTTACACGGCACCTTTCATCGACAGATCACAAAAGCGCCGTGCAAGTTAACAATTTCAACACTCCACCCAAAGCAAGATTAGCCAAGGCAACCGAGGTATGAATATATAGATAAAAACACTGATTCTACTTGCAGCACAGTGAGGTTCCCACCCACGCACAATTCGATGAGTGCGTCGTGAGATTTAATAACCGATTTAAATCGCCGAATCCTTGAACTGTCGCATGCCCCTAATGTGCACCTCCACAGCGTGCCCAGAAATATTGCTTAAGAGCTGGGACGATTATTCTGTTACACTGAGTAATCACATTAACATCACTAGCCCCGCCCACTTCGCTTATGACCCTTGGGCTACGCCCATTTTAAACCTTTAGAACTGTCTGCCTCAGCAGCTGTCCCCCTCTTTATTCTTCCCGATGACAATCGCTTGCGTTGTGATCGAAACGTCGTAGTCTTTTTGTCATATTTTCTTTGAACCTATCTACGTGACTTTACCAAAAGACCCAAAGAATATTAATTCCTGCAGTCACGATAGCTTTAAGTCAAGATAATTGAATTTGTCCATTACTTGGGCCCACTCGCTATGGCGGCCTCCCCTACATTACTCCCCCCCCTGCCAAAAAGAGAAATGTATTTATCTTCTTTGGTTCTTTCGGTAAAGTCACGTAGAATGAGAATAAAATAATAAATTGATAAAATAAAATAACACAATATTATCACGACATTTCGGCCACAACACAAGCGGCCTTCATCTGTTGTGGCCGAAACGTCGTGAGAATATTATTGTGTTATTTTATTTTATCAATTTATTATTTTATTCTCATTCTACGTGACTTTACCAAAAGAACCAAAGAAGATGAATCCTTGTAGTCACGAAAGCTTTAAATCGAGAAATGTATTTAGTAGGCACATATGCCTACACACCCTACATCAGGACATCAGTGGGGGCGACGGGCAAGGTGCGATGCGCCAAGCAGCCCTCTCCGCGGGAGCTAGAATAAGGCGGCCACAGGTCGTCGAATTTCTAGTTCATTCAAAATGACCTGTGGTCTACCGTGGACCAAGCCCGACTAACACGTCTGGCTATCGTGTCAATTGGAGCATAACGTTTCGCGATCCACCCACTTTGAGGAAATGCTAGACCTGGCATGAAAGTAAGACGCATGATGACTTTATTGTGAGTATTGTACCTTTGAATCTTGTTTTAATTAATATACTGCCACTGTGAGACCGTGTTCCTCAATACCCAATAAATGGTACAACGAAAATAATATGTAGTTAGAGGCTTCACATTAATAAACCACGTGTAAGCTACTTCAGAAAAAGCGAGTCGGGAGAAAGTAAGGGGGGCCACAGTCGTATCTTGCATAGCCCTGTCGAAATAGGACGTTGCGCCCCTGTATATTCATGTTATCCGATTAGTCGAGCAACGGGACCAGTGCAATCGGTGACGGAATCGATGACTTCGGTAAATCGGATAGCTCAGCTCTAGCGCGGAGGTGCTCACGTCAAGGCTCTTCCTCTGAGCCTCCATGTCGGCGTTCTTGTCGCTCCAGTCGCGTTCCAGCTGCTCCGTCTCCTGGCCCTTGGCCCACGCCAGCTCGGCCTCAGCTGGAGCCAAGAAGGCGAGCAGCTCCTGCAGTCGTGTGGAGCGAACCCCTGACGCGGCCTGCAAGACGAGAGAGAGAGAGTGGCTGCTTCACCGCGCCCCATGTGCGTGTCTGGGCCAGGGTGGACCATGAGAGCTGGTGGATCATGAAGCTCGTTATACACCCCTGTTAGAGCGATGAGTTTCTTTTCATTTTTCGGCAAGAGCCCTGGACAGAATGCGGGCAATTACAAGGGAAGGAGGCACAGAAATTCCGAGGACAAGAGCCCGAAACACAGAGCTTGGGGGGAAAGGGGAAAAATGGGCTTACTGCCCCACTTGCGTAGGCACTGGTCGAGTAGAAGCACAGCAATGTTTATTTAATATGGGGAAGAAAAGACAAGGGAGTAATTGAAAAAGGGTGGGGGGGGGGGGGCAGAGGGTAAAGTGTACAAAACCAAGATTTATATAAAATAACCTACAAGCTCCAAATGAAATCGCCATCTTAATGAAACGAGCGATTAGTCAATGAACCGCCCTCGCTGAGTGCCCGTGTATGCAGCACAGCTGGGCACAGGGTGCACCCCCCACGCATGGGCGGAGTTTCGGGGAGGGGGGGGGCACGGGGGGGGGGGGGGGGGGGGGAAACGCCCTTCCCAAACTGGACACCTTTATTAACTTATTTTCACTAGTTTACAATTAAAATAAACAAAAAAATACATTCATTATATGTGCTCGCGATTCCTTAATGTGAGGGACAAAGCGAACCCCACTCCCCAAAATAAAACCCTGCCTGTGGCGCCACCAATCTCGTTGTTGTCCGAGCTGGAGCAGCGAGACCTCCTCTAACGCAGAGGACTTGGGTTCGAATCCAGGCACCCAGCCGCGGTTTATTATGGGGCCCTCAGGAGCGGCGAGTCCATCGTCTCAGCACTATCTCGTAGATTTACCACAGTACGAACGTATTCAGTGAATTTGGCATCGTCATCATCATCATCATCACGATCCATGGACGTAGGTGCCCACTGCACATTTCCACAGGGGGCAGAATTCAGAGTGGGAGTGGCTACGCAAGTCACGTGATTTCCAGGAGACTTGAGCTGATTTAGCTGAATAGATAATTCAGGAAACCGTTGTAAAATTTCAAAATATATATTCAAAGTAAAAATTCAAACAGCATTTGTATAAACAAATGTCTGTAAGAAAATGGAATGCTTTTGTGAGATGCTGAGAACTTTAGTTTTTAAATGTGGATCATATTAAATAAGTAGACGTGTTCAGCACTTGGATGTTTGTACAGCAGATGGTATTGTTAGAAGCATTGTTTAAAATATCAGACAACCCATCAATAAATGTTTGTGTATTCATCTGGCACTAGCCAGGGAATGGAATGTTACTTACAAGTGATTTATTATAAGTAGCCGTTAGCGCTGCCAAACTGTCTGTGTAATTCTTCTTACGGCTTGCTGGAACTTTACTCTGAAAAGAATCATATGAAATGCCAGATTATTATACATCAGCAAAAACATACACAATGTGTTTAGATGCACTGCACACACAAACCCGTAAATGTGCGGCAATAATTTCCAATTGCAATCATCATAAGGCGATTTTGCCATGAAAATATGAAGGAACAACATGTCACATGCCATGTACATACAGTTCATATACCGCAATGGTCAAACGCAATGGATCTAAACTGACCCCGAATTTCCACAGACCACTAAATCAGGAGTAAAACGACATGCAAATAAAGCAATGTACAATGTTGGAATTGGTAATAATAAACCAAAAGCTGGACCAAAACGAATATTCAATGTCAAGAGTTTTCAACTAACTGGCAGGACAATAATCCGTAAATTGCTTCAATGTCGTACAATATATGTAACAATTTTATTTTAGTTTACCAGGTAAGGCTCCACTGAGCTATATAGCTCTTTCAGAAGGGATCTGGCCACAAATGATAGCTCAACGAGTGGCTTGTCAAGTGGATATTCATAGCAGCCAAATACTCTCAATGCACGTTTCTAAATGTGGGTGTAAACACCGGAGAACCCCCGAGAGAAATCCACGTGACCATGGGGAGAACATAGAAACTCAAAATATACAGCGGGCCTCAGGGTCGGGATCGAACCCATGACCTCCTGCATACCAGGCAAGGTAGTTAGCATATCGTAACCATGGAGCCCCATATACAGTACCTCATAAGCCTGGGCCTCCACAACTTTGGTGTTCAGGCCCTCCAGGACCTGGTGGAGATTCTTGTGGCTCTGCAAGTTGGCCCCCACGGAGGAGAGGTCTATCCCCCAGTCGGCACTCTCAATCTCCATCTTGTTACAAGGCAAGTCAAAAATAAAGAGCGTTCTACATTACATATAGTCGTTTCCACCATTGTGATAGAAACAAAACATCTACCTGATTATAGTTGCTTTATGACTGATGGTATTTTTAAGGACAATGTGCAGTAACTTGTAAAGGCAATTGCCGAAAGTTTTTTAATTCTGCTTACATTTAGATCATCTATTAAATTTAACTAACTTTAACACCCTAATCATGTGATTGTTTGACAAACTCTGAACAACTTTGCTTGATCGCACTCGCATCTGCAGACATTAACTACAACTGGCAGTTGCATCTACACAAAACGCACCTGTTTTTCCTCCATGAGGGCCATGAGGTCCTTGATGAAGTTAAGCTTTTGGTCAGCCTCCGCCTGGGCTTTAGCCTCAGCCTCCTTGGCCTTCCCCTCAGCCTGGGCCTTGCTCAGGGACTCTGCCAGCGCCCGCGCCTCCGCTTCCACCCGCAGCCTGGCATCTTCTGCTTCCTTCGCTTTCACCGCTTCCCTTTCCTTGGCCTCGGCCTCCTTGGCCTTGGCCTCCTCTTGCTGCTTGGCAATGGAGTCCGCTAATGCCTTCGCTGCAGCATCGGCTTGGATCCTTACCTTGGTCTGCTGCTGAGCTATCAACCTGGCCTTTTCCTCTTCCTGCGCCTTAGCCAGAGCTTCTGCCTTCGCCTTTGCTCTGGCCTCCTCTTGGGCCTTGGCTTTAGCCTCCGCCTCCTTGGCTTGCTCCTCCTTTGCTGCAGCCTCGGCCTTAGCCTTTTCCTTTGCCTCCTGCTCAGCCTTTGCCTTGGCCCTTGCCTCCTCCTCAGCTTTGGCTTTAGCGGCCGCCTCCTTGGCTTGCGCCTCAGCTTTGGCTCTTTCTTTCGCCTCCTGCTCAGCCTTTGCCTTGGCCCTTGCCTCCTCCTCAGCTTTGGCTTTAGCGGCCGCCTCCTTGGCTTGCGCCTCAGCTTTGGCTCTTTCTTTCGCCTCCTGCTCAGCCTTTGCCTTGGCCCGTGCCTCTTCTTCAGCTTTGGCTTTAGCGGCCGCCTCCTTGGCTTGCGCCTCAGCTTTGGCTCTTTCTTTCGCCTCCTGCTCAGCCTTTGCCTTGGCCCTTGCCTCTTCTTCAGCTTTGGCTTTAGCGGCCGCCTCCTTGGCTTGCGCCTCCTTTGCTGCAGCCTCGGCCTTGGCCTTTTCCTTTGCCTCCTGCTCAGCCTTTGCCTTTGCTTTTGCCTCCTCCTGGGCTTTGGCTCGAGCCTCCGCCTCCTTTGCCTTGGCTTCTAGTTGTTCTCTTCCTATGGCTTCTGCCAACGCCCTGGCTTCTTGGTCAACTCTTTCCCTCTCCTTGGCCTCTCGCTGAGCCTTCGCCTTGGCCTCCGCTTGTGCCGCCTTGGCTTTGGTCGCAATGTCGGCCGGGATCTTTACTTGCTCTTGGAACTGCATCAGCGGTGCCTGCACTGACTGTGCCTCGATGACTTTTATCTCGTCCACGGGGCCAGCAGCAGGCTTAGATGCAGCGGCGAATTTGGCGAGCCTGTCCAGTGCAACGGTAAATCTCAGTCAGCTGATTGTCCGTGCTAACCGGAGGTGTGGGGGAAGGACAACAAACTAAACACAATAAGCAGTTCTGAAGAAATTAGTTTTCAATTTCGATTTAATAGTGTATGACGCCAGTGGCTTCCTAAGATCGGAAAAGACCCATAAAGACCCACAGAAACCCAGAGATCATATAGAACCACAAAGACCCGCAGAAACCCATATTTATATGTATGTATGTTGAAGTTCTTCCGCAACATACGTAGCCAACCGCGCTAATCGTAGGTGCATGGGAAGGACAACAAACTAAACACAAAAAGCAGTTCTAAAGAAATTCGTTTTCAATTTATTTTTAAGTGTACAGCTTCAGTAGCTTCCTAATATAGGACGGAAGAACGTTCCAGATGGCTGCATCATGTTGACGTCATGTATCCATCATTACTTGAATAAAATTACTAACCTGCAAGTTAATAACAAAACTCCAAATGAATAAAAAAATATTATTATTAAAAGTAGATTGTCATGAATGTACCTTTTTATCAAAATGTGCTTTACTCATACTAGATCAGTACGCATTATCTCGAAAGCTAAGCAGGTTTGAGCATGGACAGTGCTTGGATGGGTGGCCATCATGCACAGCAGGTTGCTAAAGGATGCGGATATTCTTGGTGGGCAGCAGAGGGTTATTGCAGCAAACATACTCTACTGTACTGTACATCTGCGCGCAATAAGTATGGCCATAAAAAAGCTTAAACTATTTATTGTTATTTTGCCAGGGTAAGGCCTACTGAGCTATGTAGCTCTTTACTCTTTGGTTCTATTGGATAAAATCACGTAGGTAAAAAATAAAATAACAAAAATCACGACGTTTCGGCCACAACACAAGCGACCTTCATCAGGTGAAGGGACGAGACTATCTGGAGGACAGCGCTGGAGTGAAAAAAGCCACGCTCAGATCACGACCTTTAAGCTGTGTGAGAAGAAACAAAGTGCCTTGACAAAGGAATTAGCATATAATTTAGCATTGAAATGGCTGAGTGATTAGCGTGTGACTGGTCACAGAAATGGCTATGTTAAAGTTAAAGCATACACATCCGCAAAGGCACCCCTTGACAAAGGAATTAGCATAGAATTTAGCATTGAAATAGCTAAGTTAAAGTATACACATCTGCAGAGGCACCCCTTGACAAAGGAATTAGCATAGAATTTAGCATAGAAATGGCTGAGTGGTTAGCTTGTAACTGGTCACAGAAATAGCTATGTTAAAGTCAGAGCATATACATTCACCGAGGCACCTAGTACAAATCAAACAGGAGAATTTAGCGATTTGTACTAGGTGCCTCGGTGAATGTATATGCTCTGACTTTAACATAGCTATTTCTGTGACCAGTTACAAGCTAATCACTCAGCTATTTCAATGCTAAATTCTATGCTAATTCATTTGTCAAGGGGTGCCTCTGCGGATGTGTATACTTTAACTTAGCTATTTCAATGCTAAATTCTATGCTAATTCCTTTGTCAAGGGGTGCCTTTGCGGATGTGTATGCTTTAACTTTAACATAGCCATTTCTGTGACCAGTCACAAGCTAATCACTCAGCCATTTCAATGCAAAATTATATGCTAATTCCTTTGTCAAGGCGCTTTGTTTCTTCTCACACAGCTTAAAGGTCGTGATCTGAGCGTGGCTTTTTTCACTCCAGCGCTGTCCTCCAGAAAGTCTCGTCCCTTCACCTGATGAAGGCCGCTTGTGTTGTGGCCGAAACGTCGTGATTTTTGTTATTTTATTTTTTACCTACGTGACTTTACCCAATAGAACCAAAGAGTATGGATCCTTGCAGTCACGAAAGCTTTAAATGTAGAATATGTAGCTCTTTTTTAGCAGTGACCGGGCCACAAATGATAACTCAACGATGGCTTATCCCGTGGAAATTTATAGCAGCCAAATACAGTACTCTAAACGCATGTTTCTAAATGTGGAGGGAAAAATCGGAGTACCCGGATAAAAAATTCACACGACCACGGGGAGAACATGCAAACTCCAAATATACAGGCGTTAGGATCGGGATCGAACTCACGACCTCCTGTATACCAGGTGAGGTAGTTAACATCTTGCCACCGTGGCGAGAAAAAAAACACAGTGGTGCAGGGTGTGGGGAAGCCCTCTTGAGTCCAAAAGGGCTCGGGTTAAATGAGTGTGTGTCAACCTGGAGGTTTCCTGCTGAGCCTTCGTCTCTCCCGCTTGGATGGCCTTGACCAACTTCCCCAGTTCCTTTTCCACATCTGCCGGGGACTGACCAGGGGTCACCTTTATGCGACCAAAATCGATCCAAACCTGAAACACAGATCGGAGGGTCAACGTGTAAGTGTGTATGTACGTACGTATGTTGAGCTTCTTTCGCACCGTATGCACGCAACCGTGCTCATCGGAGGTGCGGGGCGAGGGGGGAACACAAACTAAACGCAAAATATCAGTTCTAAAGAAATGGGTTTTCAATCTAGATGATTTTAAAAGTGCATAGCTCCCGGTGGCTTATTAATATCGGAAGGCAGAGCGTTCCAGATGGCCGCAGAAGCGTGTCTGATAGCAAGCGATGCAGTGACCGTCTTTGTCCGATGGCCAGCCAAAAGCCGCTGTGAGGACGACCGGAGTTTGCGCGATGATTTACGCTTCTTAACGAGATCAGCAAGGTAACACACATGACCAATGCAAATTGGACGACATCAAAAATAAGTTGAAATGAGACACTGTTGGATAAACAGCAGTCCTGGTTTGTATTGAACAAAGGCTGTAATACAAAAAAAAATCAGAAATCAACTCCAGCTGATTTTTTATTGCAACTATTTAATTGAGTAAGGAAATATAAATTTTGCACAAGAACTGCCATCTATAAAAATCACGTACTTATTTTACTTTCATCTACACCTATGTAACCTCTCATTTTAATAATAACGTTTTATTTTCTTTGGTTCTTTCGGTAAAGTCACGTAGAATGAGATTAAAATAATAAATTGATAAAATAAAATAACACAATAATATTCTCACGACGTTTCGGCCACAACACAAGCGGCCTTCATCAGGTGAAGGCCGCGGCGTTTACAAACTAAAGTGCCTCTGTGGTAGTAGCTACATTGGAGAAACCAAACGACATATCTCGGACCGTATCCGCGAACATAAAGCAGACTTGAAACACGGTAGAACGAACTCCTCTGCCGTGGCAGATCACTGTTATAATTCAGTGGGCTCACATGACATTGACTTCTCCAAGATGGAGGTTCTTTGCAAACCAACCGGCTACCATGAGAGATTCGTTCATGAGGCCATTCACATATACAAGCACAGAGACAATTTTAACCGAGAAGATGGATTCTGGCTTAGTAACCATTGGAAAGATGTTTTAAACCATTTCTGTTCTTAATTAATTGTATTTTACGATGACCTTCAGACCGCAGCTCTTTCGCCAGCATTGACTCTTAATACCTCTCACACCACGGTTAATGGTATGGTTTACAACATGGAGTATAATAGCGCCTCGCAGCTGTCTCTCTCCCCCTCCTCTGTTCCGACCATGGATGAACTCGTCCGTCTGAACGGGGCCCGTAGCTATCCGTGTTGCTAAAGTTGAGGCTTAAAGGTCGTGATCTGAACGTGGCTCTTTCACTCCAGCGCTGTCCTACCAGACAGTCTCGTCCCTTCACCTGATGAAGGCCGCTTGTGTTGTGGCCGAAACGTCGTGAGAATATTATTGTGTTATTTTATTTTGTAAATTTATTATTTTAATCTCATTCTACGTGACTTTACCGAAAGAACCAAAGAAGATGAATCATTGCAGTCACGAAAGCTTTAAATCGAACGTTTTATTTGTATTTAGCTTTAACGCTGTAGAATGTGTAACACACACAGTTTTGTCACAGAGGCACGGGGATTCACAGACAAGTCGGAAGGAAGTCAGCCCAAGCTCTGTGGTCTTATATTTGGAGGTTTAGCAAACACCACTAATGAACGTTAATACCCGTGAGAGTACTCAGAGTAAAACATTTACTGATATGTTGGTGCACCATGCATGTATAAGCTGCTACTGCACCTGCAATGCCTTGTAAAGTTTCTCGATGCTGGCTCTTTCCCCATCTCTGCCGGGAATGTCTTTCTCCTTCAGCTGCAGCAACAGAATCTGGAAATCCTGGGAAACACAGCAGGCAACAGCAACAATCGTGAACCTCATTTCTGCAATAGGTTTGCTTCTTAATGTTTTGATATCTGTAGGCAGAGTAGCTCAAGCAAATTGCATCTCAAAACGCCGTAGGGTTTGTAGCGTGCGCAGCTTCACGTGCAGGCGCGGGAAGGCAGCCATAACCGGCGCCAACAATTTCCCAAGCTCTGTGGTCCTATATGTCCTACTGGACATCTTTGAAAAAAGAGCTTCATAGCTCATCGGATTTCTCGAGGATGAAGAAAATATTATGATTCCGATATTGAGATATTTGGCCAACTCTTTCACTTTGAACCATTGCTTTCAGCGGGTTGTTTAACAGCGTGCGGGTCACAATTCGTAAAAAAAAGCACCGCAATCCGCTGCACATTTTTCTTCTTATCCGTTAGACGCGTCATTGTTCGTCAATCCATGGGGAGCTGCTCGATTAAAATCACAATAATTTTTTGCTCACCTCTCGTGTCTTCAGGGGTCATGTGAACTACGTAGGTACAACATGCACGGATGGAAACAATCGATTCTCACACAAATGATATTAGGCATTTGAACCTTATGGCCGGACCCCGGGGTCCCATAAGCCCCCGGCTCTCGCATAAACTGCGTTGCGACGTCATTTTATGTCTGTTGAAGGCGAACGATACGGCGATCTGTTCCTCTCGACGAGCTCTACACGGTGCGCTAATCAAAGTTTTGTTTCTTCTGCACATTCGTCCTTGCTGCTGCGCTTGGACGACACGACAACGGAATGATCCTCGCCAGGTGGGTCGCGGCGTTCAAGTGCGCGGTGGGACGGGGTCGCCAAAAGCAAATAAATTACGATTTTGACTTCCGTTTATTCGGGACCCCCGGGGTCCCGCCATAAGGTTCATTTATTGAGGGGCGTAAAAATCTATTTTATTATATAAATAGATGCACCGTTATACATCCCTACTATCCTTTGTCAGGTCCCAATACACCGTGTATACACGCAGTAATGGGAAACACATTTTGCGATATCAAAGGGACATGGGAGAGTGGTTTAGTCCTCAGCTGCTCTGGTGTTGGTTCAGGCTCTATGCATGAACACTGAACTCATTTTGCACCGTATGTTAGCCAACCCCGCTAATTGGAGGTGCGGGGGAAGGACAACAAACGAAACATGAAATGCAGCTAGAAATAAATTAGTTTTCAACGTAGATTTAAAAGCGCATAGCCCCAGTGGCTTCCTAACATCGGATGGAAGAGCGTTCCAGACGGCCGCAGAAGCGCATCTGAAAAGCGCGCGTTGCAGTGACCACCGTCTTTCTTCGATGGCTGTAGCCAAAAGCTGCTGGGAGGATGGCCGGAGTTTGCGTGGTAGTTTATATGCCCCTCGACGAGATCGGCAAAGGTATTGCGGTTCAATTGTGGCAAGCACTTTGCGCGTCATCAGTGCGACCTCGTCACCTTGAGCTCCTCTCGGCTCATGGTGCTGCCCTGGCTCTCCACTTTCTGCATCTTCTCCTTGATCCAGGAGAGCAGGAAGCTGATCTTGGTTTCGTACTCCTTCCATTTCTTGTCGACCTCCTGCAGGGCCACAGGGCGTACAGTTCCGTCATTGAGGCAGAGGCCACGCGTCGTCACCTGTGTTTGTCAACAGTGTGAGGCAGTCATGAATATTTGTCAAAAATAAAGTATTTGTGTTTCACTAACCTGCTTCCGTTCCTAACTTAAAACCCATCTCTTATCCCTTGCCTATCCTACTGATACTCGCTGCCCCAGCCCAGCTACGACCCTCCCAGCCCCTATCACAACCCCTCTATGACGTCAGCGGTCCCCAACCCTTTTGGCAGCAGGGACCGGTTTTGTGGAAGACAATTTTTTTCACGGACCGGGGGAGGGGGGGGGGGTTCATCATTGGGTCTTTCCCCCTTTTCAAAGAAGCTCTCCAGCGACGTTTGTTTGTTACTCATTGTGGCTACAAGGGGTCAGCTTGTGGGCTTACTCATTGTGGCTACTAGGAGTTAGAGCTTGTGGGCTTACCAAACACCGTGACTGAGACAAGTGCGCGGAGTGAGAAAGAGGCGCGGACGGAAGTGGTAAATAATAAAATAATGGGCGGGTTCCACTCGTTGACTCACCGCTCTCACCTCCTGCTGTGCGGTCCGGTTCCTAACAGGCCACGGACCGGTACCGGTCCGTGGCCCGGGGGTTGGGGACCCCTGCTCTATGTGTATGTATGAATGTTGAACTTATTTCGCACCATAAGTAGCCAACTGCGGTTTAATCGGAGGTGTGGGGGAAGGACAACAAACTAAACCTCTACCTCTATCTAACCACTCCCACTTGTCCTCCTTACTGTGACCATAACTACACCAACACTTTTATTGACCCCACTCTTTATATTAACCACCATCAAATAATGTTCAATTGTATCATTATTGTAAAGCACCTTGGACTAAGGCGCATTATAAAATCTATATATGAAAAGATAAGATAAAACTTAACATGAACTATTTTATTTACGAGGTAAAGCCCACTGGAGCTATGAGTTATTTTTCAGAGGCGACCTGGCCACACGTGACAGCTCACTGAAGCGGCTTATCATCTTCACCGCGTGGGAATTTATAGTAGCATACAAATAATTCGAAATGCATGTTTCTGAATGAGGAGGGAAAAACCGGAGGACCCGCAGCTAAATCCACATAGCCACCACGAGGAGAGAGAAACCGACGCAAACTCCAAATATACAACAGGCATCATCAGGGTCCGGGATCAAACCCACGGCCTTCTGCGTACACCAGGTGGCCTCAAGATGTGAGATGAATACATTTCCATTTGGAGAATTGCAGCTAGCAGTGCACCACCCTGTTTTAGAGAATGGTCCTCAAACGTGATGCAACACAACGATTTCAAAATATATATATTTTAAATATAGTCCACATTTTTCTCCAAATATATACCAATTGTGATAATAGCGTCATGTTGAGGGATCCATTGGGGTCTTTAGTTGAGTGGAGCACTCCGCACGCCAGAGAACATAAGCTCTTTTTACAGGACTTTGGAAAATCCTTGATATTTTTTTACATGGTCGGGAATCACACTCTCCTATACACGTTGTTATGAGACTGTCCCAAGATATTCATAATAAAGGTTTTTTGGGTTAGATCGCGTTATTTATAAATGTGTCATAACCCTCCACCACCTGACACGGCCAATCAGCAAAAAAGTGCTACGTTGACAAAAGACAAATAGTTCACTAATTTAGTGAATTATTTGTCAACGTGACACTTTTTTGCTGATTGGCCGTGTCGGGTGGTGGAGGGTTACGACACATTTATAAATAACGCGATCTAACCCAAAAACCTTTATTATGAATAATATTGGTCGCGAAAGTCTACGTGTTAAACTGTCCCAAGATAGTCTAACCAGTATGCTTCATTATCAGAATGCATTTAAGTCAAAGCAAGTGCAAAAAACAAATTGAGCAAGATGGTTTCCTGGCCACTGGTTTCATCAAGACGAGGGCATCATCACTCACAACATTTGTGCATCTGGTTTAACCACCGGTGGCTGAAACCCAGATTCGAGTCCAGCATTTCTGTGGCGCTGGCGAGGCGCTCTAACCTCTGAGCCACCCAGCCAATTTATACAACACAATCTTGATATGGGGGGGGGGGAAAGCTTTGATTAAAAAAAACTTATCATAAAAAAATTGCACAAAGCAGCATTGTTTATGGCTACATTTTAAAAAATTTCAAGTCATCCCAGTGAGCACCTTCCTGCAGTTACATATGGCAGCTTGAAAGGGTCTCTTGTAGGGCTGAACGATTTGGGGAAAATATCTAATTGCGATTTTTCTGACAGATATTGCGATTGCGATTTTATTTGCGATTAAATTGTTTTAAGTCAAGCTTCAGTTCAATATTCACTGTGAAATAGATGTCAAACATGTGATGGAGCATTACCACGTGATACCATCGAAATAGTAACTGCTCTATATATTCTAATGCAAGAATGAGATCTTAAAATACATGAATTGCTTCCAACATGTATTTATTAAAATGTTTTAATTGAAATAAAACAATCAAACATGGAACAATTGTTAAGTTAAATAAATAAAAGTTATAATAATAAAAAAATAAAACAATTCCAGTAAAAAAGTAACGGGACTTTTCAAATTGCAAAAAAAAATCGCAGCCTTTGTGATTTGCCCATCGCATTGTTTCAAATGGCGATTTCGATTTGAAATCGATGAATCGTTCAGCCCTAGTCTCTTGCTCCAACCCTATGCTGATAAGCCTCACCTCATTTCGCAGGACAACGTTTCTGTTGAGTCCACAATTTTGAACAAGCTCACAACGGTTCTAATAGATGAGCAAGGCAGAGCGTGCAAACTTTTTTTTTAACGAGACTAGGGAGTCACAGTCTCCTAGCTGGTCATTACACGTAAGATTTCCACATTGCTACTTACCATCCACACAAAAGAAACATGCAAGGCCTGTACGGAAAATGTCTTCACCTCTGGTTGCCCCCAGTATTTTAGATATATAAAATTATTAGCAAGCCCGTTGTTTTTAAGTGGGACGAAATCTCCCACAATTTTCCCCAAAATTGCAAAGAAACCATCGCCGCGCTTGACCTTTCGCTTCAACTCACGTAGATCGTGATGCCATCCGCTGGGATCTTCGGGAAGGCCTCGTAAAGAGCGGCCACGTATGTCACCAACGACTTCTCTTCAGGAGATTTGACATCGACATCTGTGGGGAATGGGGGGGGGGGGGTGGGACGCGTAAAATTACTAAACTTTAAACTTGTAGGAAAACAAACACAGCATTTTCAAATGTTACATAATCCAGTTTCAAATGTTACGTAAAGTTTTCCAGCATACTTAAAACATTGTTTTAACTTGCAGGACACGTCGCTCGAAGAGATGATTGGCCGACAGTCAAGAATAGTGATGGATTGGCAGCCAGAGGGGATGGAATGCGTCCGAGAGGACGTCCTGCACGAAAATCAGCTTGCTGAGCTATCATTTGTGGCCAGGTCGCTTTTTAAAAAGAAACCAATAGTTCAGTGGGCTTTACCTGGTCAAATAAAAATAGTTTAGTTTTAGTTATATATATTTCGTGATTCTTACCTTTCAAACACTTAACGTATTTAAGTATTTTGTTGTTGTTGTAACGTTCTGACCTGCCGCCCACTGAACATCTGTGAAATAGCTTTATAGCTCATCGGATTCTTCCAAAATTAATACATATTCTGATTCTGGATCGTTACATCGCTGGACCTTGGGAGATGGAAGCAGCTTTAAGAGGCCTCATTGATCACGGCTGATGATGACGATGATTTTACATTAATTTTGCAGAGTTAATTTAATTGTTCAAAGCAGATTTAATAAAATAAAAAAAACCCACAATTAAGGAATACATTTATATTCTTTAGCATTCATAAATTCGTCTAAACGTACACTACATATCTTTTTCGAGGTTATTTATTTATACGTCCCATTATCATTTATATATTTTCTATATCAATGACTCTTTTTTAAGAGGGACCTTATTTAAACAAAAAAAAATGGTCTGTCGTGGAAAGCACAAATAATCTCAGTCTGTTGTCTGTTACAGTGCACGGGCCTGGTTTAGAAAAGCCCATTTTGGTATTACAAAAAAATCAATCATGCAATTGCCTGCATATTACATCCATACAAGCGGTTGTCCTTTCAGGCAGACTTTATTTGAGCTCAAAAGCACTCAAATAAAGTGGCCCAACAATATTTTTGGGTTAAACTATTCCAGTATTTCCAATAATCACGGTTATTTTCCCAATTGTAACCTGAATCCTAGGAACGGCAATATGCCAATGATAGCAATAATAATAAAGCAACATTGACATCAATAAATTCCACATGAGCCTCAAAAGTTAATTCTGCAAAGGGTACAGCCAGTAACATGTTCTTATAAGAATAACATTAATCATATTTTGGATTTTTAGTGCGACTTGAATAAAAGCTTTAGCAACTCAAAGTGTCTTACATGGCATCTCAACTTAAACGGTCCAAGGGCACCCCTAGTGGCAGATGCCCCCGTGTGGCAGAAGGTGACTAGGCACTGGCATGAATGTGAGTCTTAGTCGGCTAGTCCGGAGCAACCAATGGAATGTTGTCATCCCAACTGATTAATCTACGGGTATTACTTCAGAATTTGGCAAATGTTGACGCTGGCACACAAATGGCCTACTCATTTAAAATGAAGTCACGGGATTTGCAGCGTCCGCTCTTGCAGCAGATGGCGTGTATTAATGGTCCATTCGCCCGCATTGTTAACGTGGGCGGCCTGCCAGAGTCGAACTGCGAACCTCCGCGACAAATGGTGAACGAGCTGCTGGCGGGTTGGTGCCACTGCCCCCCCCCCGTGCAATGTCTGGATTGTGCCAAGGATGGCGACATATTAACTACCTCGCCTGGTATACAGGAGGTTGTGGGTTCGATCAAGACCCTGACGCCTGCGTATTATAAGTTTGTATGTTTTCCCCGTGATCGAGTGGATTTTACTCCGGGCCCCCCGGTTCTTCCCTTCACATTTAGAAACGCGTGTTTCGAGTATTTGGCTGCTATAAATGTCCACGTGATGAGCCGCTTCATTGAGCTATCATTTGTGGCCAGGTCACTTCTGAAAAAGAGCTATATAGCTCAGTGGGCCTCACCTGGTCAAAATAAAAAATAGTTTTGTCGTTTGCATCGTGCTCACCTTCGGTGTCAAGCAGGCGTGGGACTCGCAGGTTCTGCTCGGCCAGGCTGAAGGCCTGCTCCAGGTTCTGCTGATTGTTCTGCTGGTAGACCTTCTTCATGTCCAGGAGGTCGGGTCTGCAGGAAAACAACAGCACGCACCGTTCACCAAACGTACCACACGGGACACACTTACCGCACCATTTTTTTCCACGAGTGCTTTTCAACTGGCTTAATTGCTGCGCCAAGCTTGAACCAAACCGTGACACGCTGGCCTCGCAGGAAAGGCGAATCTCGCCCGAGGCCGAGCAGGACCACCAGGGGCAGAGCTAACGCGATGCGCGAATTCCGTGTGACAAGAGTCAGGGCGACCCCGAGGACACGGCACCACCGCGTCAACTACACACGCCTTGACTCATTCGCTGCAGCTTCCGCGGTGGAAAAACAACCTGGTGCAGGTATTGAAAAACCGTCCAATGGAAAAAAAAAAAAAAGTACATCGGGTATGGGGGAAGGGGGCAGCGCGCGCTCCGTCACCGGTGGCGGTGGATGATGGCGTTGAAGAGTCTGCCGTCGCGCCACGAAGTCGTGAAGTTGTCGCAGCGCAAGTCCGGGTACTCCTGCACAACGCGACGCACCCACAGCAAGAGGCGCTCCTTCGCGCCCAGGTCCCGGTGCTGCTCCCCCACCTGTATGTCGGACACCTGCACGCAGGCGAGCACACACACACACACGCGCGCGCGGCCAACGCGTTAGGGTCGCCGCCACGTCTCTCTCGCGGTCGACCAAACTCAGACGCACAAGGGCACCTCCCGGGGGTGGCGAGATGTTATCTGCCTCGCCTGGTGTGCAGGAGGTCGTGGAATCGATCTCGACCCTGACGCCTGGGTACTTGAATTTTGCGTGTCTCTCTCCGTGGTCGCGTGGATTTTTCTCTGGGTCCTCCGGTTTTTTTCCCTCCACACTTAGAATGAAATTTCCACGTGATAAGCCAGTTCATTGGGCTATCATTTGTGGCCAGGTTGCTTCTGAAAAATAGCCATTTCGCTCAGTGGGCCTTGCCTGGTTAAATAAAAATTAGCAGTCAGCACGAGGTCTATCAAAACTGTGCAGCCTCTTGTATTGAAGTTAAAAACAATAACGGTGACCAGAATTCAGAATAAATCAATTCCCGCCACCCGAAAAAAAGAATGCCAATTCGCGGATGATCTCGGTCAAACCCCACACAGGTGGTAAATATCACACTTACGTGGAGGTGGGGGTCCTCATGACTTCCACAAGCTGCCAAAAACGATGGGTTCTGTGCAAAAGACTACCGGGCACTCTCAAGGAGACGACGCAATAAGCTATGTTAAGTCCAATCGTTGATACAGATTTGCCGCGCCCCCTAGTGGACATTTGGGGTGGCAACCTCAAATCGCAGGAGAGGTCGCATTACTACGTGTGTGGATTGTGTGCTCTGTAGAGCAGTAACGCTTCATAAAACGCACTTAAAAATTCAGTCGCGCCGAAACATTGTCGTCCTATGCCACACACTGCTGTACGAAATGGTCACGGGTTGTTCGTGGTACCGATGGTGATGATCCCCTAAAGTGACGTTAATGTGTTAAAGCGTTAAACGTCTGGTCGCATCCCTCATTCCCTGAGATGGCAAACGCAGGCATTGTCATGTTGTTTTGTTTGTTTCTGCCTGCAGCATGTCCTTTGTGACCTATTCACTTCCGACACGCTGCTCTTGAGCATGGTAAGAGAGCTTTTTAACCTTGCCGATAATTTACGACGGTAATTGTGAGTGAGATGTTGGTGCGGTCCCTGTAAAATTGCAGTGCTCAACGATTTGAATGAAAGTAAAAATTCACATCGGTGAGCACGCATTGCTCTCAGTGCAATCGGAGTCCTTTCACAATGGGGCATCAACCGCCTCTATTTTGTCGCTGAGTATTTTTTGTTTTATTTTTTTGTTAATTGTGCTTGAGCGGAAGATGGCAGCCTACACCCGGCCCGCTCTGTTAAGCGAGAAATCGCGACGAATGCCATCAACACGGCGAACCAGGACATCGATCATCGATGTCCCGGTCTCCAGAGCAGCGACACACGTGACGCCAAATGGCCTCGTTCAGGGCCAAACAACAAGGCGTCAGAATTGGACCTTTTTTTGCCAGTATCAAAGTATGAAAAAATAAGGGTAGGTTTCATCTTTCCTGGCAATAAAACAGGTATTAAGATAATCAACCAGGTAGGGTGTTGACTGTTATGTTAGCCGACTCTCTGTGTTGTATTGCATTATATTTCTAAGTTTACTAGGTTTTTTTTTTCATTCATTCGTACCTGATGACGATTGCTTGTGTTGCAATCGAAACGTCGTATGCTATTATTTAATTTATTCCTTTTTATTTCTACGTGACTTTACCGAAAGAACCAAGAATATGAATCCCTGCAGTCACGGAAGCTTTAAATCAGGTATTAAGATGTCTAAACACCAAATATAAACTTTTTTTGCAACGAATCAAGTTCGCATTAACCACACGTGAACATGGAAACAAACACGCTCTGACAGTACATCGCATTGTCTTTGAACGCGTAAAAACTATTCTTATTATTTCAACAATGCGTCGCTGAGACCCTGGGACAAGGCTCCTCCACAACTGAACACCGAGGGACTCTCCCGTGCGAAGGGCGAGTATCTCGCGAACACAAAACACGTAACATCGACGTCAACATGCAACGACCGCAGACACGAAGGAGACATCAACAGCGATGCACTGCTCCTGACGCGAATGTCTGGGCTTGACCACCCGAATGTGAAATTGCAGCTGAAGAAGAGGCAGCACCATTGCACCAGCAGCAGCAGCAGGCAGCAATTGCCAAATAGTTTGACTGAAACGAGTTTTTGTTTTCACCACTAGAGGGCTCAACGGCACCGCTGTTGAGATCAACGTGCTCAAGAAAGAGTGCGAACAGGGGCGTTGGCTGGAGAAATTCAACCACGGGCAAGGCCCACACAGTGGCAAACGCCACGGGATATTGTTACAGGCTCGGCTCTGTCAGCGCTCCCTCGGTGACGGAGCAGCTAATGCGTCCATTAAACCCCGTTGGTGACAGTGCGCGTTAATGATAATATCGGTCTTCTCGCGCTATTGATCCGAAATGACGGCAACGTCACACAATTCGTTTCGACAGTGATATCGAGAGGAGCAGCAGCAGCAGCAGAGGAAACCAGATCCAATGTTGGTTAGCAGGTGCCCTGAGAGATGTCGGTACCCGGTTGGTGCAATGTCTGCGTGCGGGGGCTTTGTCGAAACACCGTGTAACGACCGACCTAGAAGGTGGTTGAGACTGACATCATCAGCCATCGGTCCGCTCGCCGCAGACACGTTACAGACGTATGCAAGCGCGCCCTTCATCATTTTACTCGAGCGGACGCGGCGAAAGAGTTTTCACATTTTCGGCACTCCGGGGGGTAGAAGACAGTACTGGGATAAACAAATGTCCGAACGCTTGACTCGGTCTTGGGCAAGCGGTGTTAAAAAGTCTCATCACGAGTAAATTGTATAAATTATATAATTTACTCGTGATGAGACTTTCAACACCGCGCACATGAAAGATGTGGATCTCTTTGTCCCCACTCCCAGGAATGTGGGGGGGGGTGTTGCCACCATTCTCAAAGATCATTCAACAAGAACATGGGTTTCTTTTATAGGAGCACTTAAAGTTGTCCGCGCCCGGTCGAATGTTCTTTACAGCGAACAGATTTACGCATGGCCAAATAATTTGGCCATGCTGCGTTGGCAGTGGTACACAAGCACGAACGACAATTTTGTTCTTGTAAACAAAATCGACACGTTCGTCAATAACACTGTGACCTAAAAAATAGGTGATGTTTCAGGCAATGACTCTTCCTTGTGCTATGCAGAAGGACCGTTCCCAAAACGTCGTTTATATACTGTTACTTCTAAGGCCACAACAGTATCATTAATGAATGTGTTTAGATTTGTGTCTATCGCTCTCCGTGGGGTGACTTGAGGCAACAATGATGATTTGTTATTTCCTTGTTATTTTTTGAAAGAAAAGTTGGATTCGGGCAGACAACTACTGGCACATAATGACATCCTCTTGTATATGATGTCTGTCTGTCTGGATATATACACAACTGTCTCAAGATATTGTACGGAATGTGGTCTCCAAACACAAATAAAACATCGTCGCCTATAAAAACGCTGCGTATTCTACTAGCACAATACAACTTCAAGTATCCGACTCGCTGGGGACTGAAATACGGTAGAGGCGGATCTGTGAAGAAATTGTAAATGCGAACATCTATAGAAACGATAGACCATGCACAATTAGCTTACTGGGCAAAAACAAAAAAAATGCAACTGCTTTAAATATTTCTTTACCTTACTTTAAAAGTGAACATGTGCAGGGTTAACAATGCATTGCTCTTCGTGAAATAAGTCAACTGCTTTTTGTGTTTAAGGTTGTTGTCCTTCCCCCGTACCTCCTCCTATAAGCACGGTCGGCTCCATACGGTGTGAAAGAAGTTCAACGTAGATGCATACAACGGTTTGAACGTCTATGGAACACGTGGCATTTTCAGTGGTGCACAAACGCAAGTAACAACAACTCTGTGTTGAGTTTTTTTTGTTTGTCGCAGATAATTATTACAGTTACACAATGCGACTAAACACCTGTGCGTACCCAATGTAATCTGAACTTCTTTTGCACCGTACGTAGCCAACCGTGCCAATCGGAGGTGCGGGAAATGTGGGTGGCTAATTTGGTTAGGGTGGATACGCGACGTTGGGATATGCGACGTTGTACCGTTATTGCAAATATATTCTTGTCTTTGCAAGATTTTATTTTTTCTTTGCCGAGTGCGATTATTAAGACGTGATATATTTAATTTATCATATATATGTAAAAGCTGAATTGAAAGTGTGGAAAAACGTTGCTGAATATGCCTCTTATAAACACGTCATTTGACAGATTTAAAAAATCGGGGATCCATTGCCATGCAGCACCTGGAATGCGTTTGCAGTTTTGAATGGAGTTGCTTGCAGTGCGGGGAATTAACCAACTTAACTAGAGAGAGAGAACAACATGTACAATCTGTACAAGATAGTGGGCGGCATAAGTATGTATACATTCATTACATTCCTATCCGGAATATATTACCTGGTTTAATTCATTCTGAAATGTCCCCTCGCCTCGCCTAACATTTTATCGGAACATTTTCAGAAAGCAAACGGCGTACAGTGCATTAAACTACATTCTTGAAGCCGCACGCCCAGTGCTCTGACATTAATCATTTTGTACGGCTCTTGGCTGGCAATACGCAAACTTTCAGTTGCTATAAAGCAGAGCGCACGCCATATTTGAGGGAAAGCTGTGCTGAGGTCAGCCCAGCACCTAACGGGGCCTCCTGTGAGTTGATTTGGCATGGAGTGGGCACCTGGTGCCAAACATTTGCTTGACAAGTTTATTGTCGAAGTGCACACTGTGTGGCTTATTGAATTGCACAAGTTGTTTCAGACCTTGCCACCCAAAACGTATTCCAAGTGTGCTATGGGTCAAGAGGCAATCAAATGTTCTTCTGCAACTCCTGCTATCAGCAGGAAATCACGATAATTTAATTGCAGCCGCAGGTCGGTTGCAGAGAAGAAAGGTGACGGAGTTTGGAGGAGGAGGTCCTCAATTTGTAAAGGGCGTCCATCCAGTTGCTACAGGATGCCTGCTTCTCTGCAAGTTCCAAGAGGAATTTGCCAACGACAACACGAGGCCGATTATGAAATGCCACGTGAGCGCTGACAATGGCAACGAAAAAAAATAGTTCTAAGTGGTGGCTATGGAAGATAGCACCACGAACTGCAATTACACTGCCCTAAAATAAAAAAAAAACATTTTAATTGGAAATATTTTACAGTACAATGGCTCAGATAGTTATTTGACTACTAGCATTTTGCCTGTCCAAGGACGGGTGTATTGCAGTAAATCTGAAACTTGTAAGCGAAAAGCAGACCGCAGCGATTCATTGCATCCATTCGTCTGCAATTCTGTAAGGCCGCGGTAACACAGACCTATTTAATTTAAAGGTTATAATCCCCTGTTCATCACGACGTCCTTTTTAGTTTGATGTCTCAACAGCGTTACGGAGATCGCGTGACGTGAGGGTTCTGCCTTTGTAGTGAGGGTTGTGAGTTGACGCTGAGGAGGGGGGAGGCGCTTTGCCCCCCCCTCCATATGGAGTGACGTCACACGCTAATTAATATTATTGAGGGGGGGTGGCCCACGTGGAGTGACGTCACGCGCAGGACACACAGACATTATTGGCTCATTGTAGTAGTAAGTGAAGAGAGATCTGTCCACTATGAAGAAGGGCCATTGCCTGAAATGTCACAATAGAGCCAATCAAGGTTGTTGGTCTTCAGCAGAGAGTTGGTGTAGTGTTTCTATTCCTCCGTTGAAGGAGCGCACAATGTAGTGGTTTGTCATTTATGGTCCATAGTTGCATTACCACAGTGTCATTGACGAATGTCTTGAGATTTTGTCATGAGTGCTGCTGCCAATTCAATATCATAGAGATTGCTTTTGGTTTAATCGCATTAGGGGGGACGGGTGGGTGGAGGCTGGGCTGGTGGGAGGCTGCCTACATTTTAACCCAGAAATGTCAGCGACGCTGACTCAGTGCTCAAGCCGCACAGTGTCCTGTCCTCATTTTTAAACAAACGGCTGTCTTTTCTCTCCTCGGCACCCATTCAGCAAGAGCGGCCATACCAGACCAGCCACAAAAGGCTGCCGCCTGGACGCCACTTTAGTCGAGATAACAGGACGACCCGCTCCGAAGTCCCCAGCTCTGTGTTCTTCGCTAATTTTCAGGGACGAGGCATCAGCGTGAGGGCCGCCACACATTTGAAACCATTGGGGTTTCACAGCAGCAGCGCGGTGATTATGATGATGGGGGGGGGTGTTTTCACGTGTTGTGTGTATTGTCAGAGGCAAACACGTCAGGAGCTGCGCTAAAGGCCACCAAGGGCTGCCGGTGGGCCGGCGGGCCTTGCAGTGGAGAACATTGGCCATGCTTCACAAAGGACCAAAGTAAGACAGGCAAAATGCCTCCAAGTGTAAATATTTCACTTGCTCAATTATAACCACTGAGCCAGTAAGAGAACCACCAATTAATTCTAACACTTCTGCTTGAATGTGTAAATCTATTACAAGACAGTTTTAATGGAGTTTAAAAAAAGGTTCAAGGTGCAGTCCTGCAATTTCCTGCTCACACCACTGTGGCGAAAGAGCCTCGACTAGACAGCACGAGAGAACACCACCTCTAAAGGGTATTTGGCCTACTCTTCCACGCTGACCAGATGTCTTAGAAGATGTGGGGCTATCCACACCCTACTCCACCACACGCGAACTGCAGATAAATTAACTGTGCCATACCTATTTATACAACCGGGTAGACATAGGTGCGCAATGTAATAATCTTGCCCCACGTTTAAACTGCGGCCTATTTACAATTACCACTTTTTTTTCACCAGGTAGGGCCCACTATGTAGCTTTTTTTCAGAAGCGACCTGGCCATAAATGATAGCTCAACGAAGTGGCTTTTCATGTGGAACATTATAGCAGCCAAATACTCGAAACGTACCTTTATAAATACGTTTATAAATGTGGAGGGGAAAACCGGAGGACCTGGAGATAAATCTACTCCACCACAGGGCAAACATTTAAACTCGAAGTATACAGATGCCAGGGTCGGGATCGAACCCATGACCTCCTGCATACTGGGCGAGGTGGTTAACATCTCGCCACCATGCCCTCTGGACTCAATGCTCCAGTTGCACTTTCAATGAAAGGAGTGTTTTTCCCATTGCAGGCAATGTGTGCATTTCAGGTCAACTCTTTGTTCAGGTCATATAGTTGGAAAATTAAGCTGTGTAGAAAGGTTTCAATAATGTTTGTTTAAATAGGGCCCACTAACTGCCATTCCATGCCTGACAAGCAGGCATGGAATGGCAGTGGAAAATCGAGAAGAGGGATTAGTTTACTGATTGGAGCTGTGCTTTGCAACTGAGCATGCAACTGCAAATTAAGAATTCACTCAGTTTTTTTTTCTCCCTCTTGCTCAAGATGTACTGAATAAGAAAAGCAATGCAGTTTCAAATAAAATCCCAGGTATGTTATGCGTTTGAATACGGGAAGCCCATGCTTCACGTGTTTTCATGCAACGCGTTTTCGCTATGACGTGGTTCTGACGAACTACTTTCTTGAGCTGCGCGGCCAAGCGGGACGGGAACTCTGGGTGCACGCGCGGAATGATACGGTGCGTGGCGGCGTACCCTCATCTCAGTTATTTTGACTCGCAAATGGGAAAAACTGCAGGCTGATATAGTGCAGATATGATTAAAATGCGCGTAGTGTCATTTATTTACGCCCTGCAATTTACGTAAATAATTCCTCGCTTAACGCGGCACTTTTCAGGAACGCATCTTGTACGTTAAATGAGGAATTAATGTCAATACAATTAGTTACCGCTTAATGGACAGGGTGCTCTGGCCTATATCATCAAGGAACACAGCAGCAATTGTTTCAGAATCAGAATTAAAATCGCTATTTAGACCGGGGGAATTCGATGAGCTTTGAAGCTCATTTTCACAGATCTCCAGCAGATGTGAGATGTTCAACGGACCTGACTCTGCTGACGAAACTCAGAAAATAAGCACATCCAGAGTTTGCCTGCTTAAACAAATGCTGCTGAAAAAACATTGGCCGAGATTGCTCATGGCCCGATGAGCTGAAATATTGTATTCATATGGAGTCACAAATCCTTTACTGTTTATGCATTCAATATCCAGCAGAGGGCAGTGCAGCAGATGCTGCACACGGACTCCTCTACTTATGAACGAGTGAGGTTCCAGAGGTCTGTTCGTAAGTCCAACTTTACTCCTGTCAATTCCAAACATGTTCTGCGGCATGTACACTAAACACAGGGAATGGCTTTAAAAGTCCTGAAGACGTAGATGCCGCTGGTTCCTCACGTTCTGCAGATGTAGACGCCACCACCATCTATTGCGCGGCAGTTGAACTCACGACTCTCGGTCCGAATGGGCAACTGGACATACGAACAGGTTTGTCCGTGTCTCTGAAAGTTTTTGAGTCGAACGTTCGTAAGTAGAGGAGTCCCCGTACTTATTTGGCCCCACTTCTATGCTCCCCACCTTCACCAACCCGCACTGAGCAGAGTCACGTCAACAAAAAAAATTCTGGCAAAATCGCCTGAAACTTTGTTGTAATCACCAGAGAAACGTCGTACCCAAACTGTGAATGTTGTGGATTTACTCTCCATCACACCGATGTGCTGACGTAGCTGCTAAATGGCACATTTTGTTCACGTTACAAACCTTACTGAGTGGCACTGTTGGGTGGCGGTGGGTTAACAACACGGTTATATTTATGCGATCTACCCCAAAAAACCTTTATTATGATTCACAGAACCCTACTGAAACAGAGCATTGACACACGGCAAGGCTTTACTGGGCGAATGAATGTGAAGCTAACAAAATAAAACACCTGCAGCACGTCTGTGGAACTCTGACCTGGAAGTGAAGGATGATGGTCCAGATGAGCCCCAGGGTGAGCTTGGGGTTTCCCTCTGCGATGTCATCGCTCCGGATGTTCACCAGCTTGATCTGCGGGATGATGTCACAGCAGAGATGACCAGTATCTAAATTATATGTAGTTTAAAAATATAATTTCGTTACAAATGTCATTTGTTATTTCCAGAATCTAAATTACACGAGATGCGGTTAATTGATCATTAGTATCTGCACTGCCTTACTCTAGTAATTTTAATTAACTCTGCACACCTCTGCACCTCCGATAAGCGTGGGTGGCTACTTTCGGTGCAAAAGAAGTGCAACATGCATGCATACATCACAGGCCACATTTATAGACATTCATTGATCAATTGAGGCTCATGCCGGAATGGGGATTGGATCAATGCTCCTTCCACTCAGCTCTATCTGAAAATAAAGTGAAACCTCTCAAAGCCACACTAACTGGGCAGAGAGCCTTTCCGATTAAGCGGGGGGCATCTGACATACCGCAAATAAGTAAATAGTCGAAACGCTACATTTTCATTACGTAAAAAATGTAACGTAATTACAACCTAAGACATTTCAAAGACATGCAATCATATTAACTAAATATTACAATTTAATAACAAGATACACCACACTATACACCATATACGTGCAAAGACAAATATTTTACATGTAGCGTGAACAGACTGTTGGGGAAAGTGCTGTTAGCGAGCACCTATGAATGCCGGCACAACATACGTTGGGGTGAGTGGCCAGAACCATTCCCGGCCACCTTTATCTTCCCAGTAATGATGTTTACACAATGCACCAGGGAGGCCGAGTTGACCTCGGCGAGACCCAGAACCCGTTCATGCATTCATCGATGACGGCGAGCCAGAATCTAACTCGGGTCACTGGGTTTGTAGCGCAGCGTTCCACCGCTCTCCAATATATACATACATTCACCGAATATTGTACACACACAATATACACAAGCGCTACTTTCTACACGCATGCAAAGGTCACACACGTATGGCGATGGTGCAAGGACACCGTTTTGTTGTCCATCTTTTGACTGTTTAAATGTGCTGAGCTCTGTTGCTCCTCCCTCTGCCAAAACCGCAATCCTTTCAACGCGTGCAGTATTCCCCCCCCCCGTATGCACACAATTGGACCGGTCAACCCGTAGGATGGCGACAGTCGCAGGTTATTGCACATGAGCTTAATGATGGGCAGCAGCGTCTGCCTTGCAAAGTGTCCAGCTGGGCGCGGCTCACTTGGCGTCTTTGCATGAAGTCCAGGGCGATCTTGATGTTCTGCATCTTGTGCACCAGCATGCTTCCTCTCTCCCTGGGCTGCAACACACAGCACGTGCAGCATAATCAGACAAATGACAACGATCCCCCCCACCGCCCGCATAGCCTCATTTTGGTGTTATAATTTATTTATGTAGTTTATTGTTAAAAAAATTCGGTCACAGTCCCTATGATCACTGTTACATTGCATTTATGGCTTTTATTTTGGTGATTTCGAAAACGTATTTTTTTTGTTTTGGCCGTGTTTTTGTTTATTGTAGTACGGAGTTAGACTGATGGCCTTAATCTTAGTTGTCTTGTGGTTGTTGTTGTTGTTGTTTGACTTGCATCCCACTGGGATTTTTGCACACAGCGTTGGTGTACGGTGCTATTTCAGGAATATTTTGATGTTTTTTTCCTGGATTTTCTGTTTGCACAGTCACACACAGTCACTTTAAGATGTTTTATTGTTCATGTTTTTGTTTGTTCCGGTTGCACCCGATTCAAAAGCCGAATGGCTCACAGGGCTATACCAAATAAATGAACTATGGAACTATAGAACAGACTGTTGGGGCAAATGCTGTCAGCGAGCACCTATGAAGGCCGGCACGGCACACGAGGGGGCGGGTGACCAGCAACCACGCCTTTGCCTCCCGAGTGGCGATATTTACACATCGTACCAGGTACACATTTGAGTCTGAGTCAACTTAGGGGAGGCCCAAGACCGGTTCAGATAATCGTGACCGGTTTTGGCTGTGAGCAGGAATTGAACTCGGGTAGATGGGTTTATAGCGCAGCGTGCCAATCACTTCGCCACCCCTCCACACAGCGAGCGAAACACACACACACACAGTGTTAAGGGCCCTCCCAACAACACTCTTTTCAAGTCTGTGGTAAATTGTTGTAAAGTTAATTTAACTTACATTCACTTCGCCTTTGCGATATATCTGCACCTGTAATCGAATGCCGCTCTTTAACCGCGACTGGAACCCCAACTGACAGCACTACCCACAAAACCCGGGGCCAGAAACAACTGAAGAGACATTGTTACGGCAATATTCACCAGAAGTTGGTACCAGCCGTCAGGGCTACCCAAAGGTTCCGTGTGAGGCCACCTTATTCATTTTTGCGTGTGTTTCATTTGTTGTCCTCCCCCCCCCCCCACACACCTCCGATAAGCGTGGTCGCTTATGCACGGTGCAACGTACATACCTACATACCTACATCCACAGCAAAAAAAAAATTAGGACGGTTGTCTTTCATGTGAGACCTGGGAAGAATTGCCCCCCACACTCGGGTTGGCCCTGCCTGCAACGCATTTACTATGTAAAACCATGCCAACGTGGTATGGCAATGGCACACACTTTAGACAGTGTTCTGGCTAGCCAATGTTTAGGAGAGGTTCGTTGCTAGCTGCCTGGCCTGGACTGGCCACAGGGCAGCAGTCCAGGCAAATGCCTGGTGGACCGGTCCATTCTGAAGGCTGGTTGGCTGGTCTGGGTGGGGAAATTTTAAATGTGATGAGTATTGTATTTTTTGTTATATTAAAATATTTTATTACCTATAATATTTACACTTCATTGCTTATTTACGCTCTCAGTTGTCCCATATTCGTCAGCCACAAAGATTGTTCCTCACCGGCCCATTTGTTTTTTGGACCCAGCCAAAATGGGGCAATGAGATTCGCTCGGCAATTTGGGCCAGCATGTTTACAAATGCCTGCGCCGATATTTAGTCCCATTCTGTCACTGCTAGCTGCTGTTAACACCAGTTCTCCTTGTGCGCAATTCTAAGATAATCTTTTGGGCGACAGGTCCCAGAACTTGAGAAGACCGAGGCAGAGATATGTGAGCAAAGAGGTGATGGTTATGGGCCTGGTTGCGAGCGTGGATGAAGCCTTCAGCATTGAGCGCCACCGCGTGTTTTGAGTCTAAACGATTTAATGCGAGGTGGGCACTGGGATGGGTGTGGCGGGCCGTAGGGTGGAGTTAAGACTGTCAAGGATGTACTGACAGCCACTGAAACATAATATATATGGTGCGCTGGCACTGAAGCTATACACAAACATGTGTATATACATGATAACTAAAATCCACGGTGAATATGGCAGATCCTATTATCCACTGGGTTATCCGTGGGGTAAACACATCACAATAACAGGAAGATATATGGCTTGCAGAGCAGATAATGATTTTTTTTGCGGATCCTATGGCTGCCACGGGTAACATGGCCACAGACAAGAGGAGTTCTCCTCTACGTAAGCTCTGGCTGTAATTTTCTACTGTTAAGAGCCAATAAATACCAAATCAAGAACAAAATATAATCAACCGTACATTCCATATGGTAACACTCTTACTTTGTGCGGGCAACAAAATAATATTTTCATTTTACGGCAAAACAATTTTTACCAAGTCGTTTTGAGATTTTTTTTGACATTTTATTTATTTTTGCCTATGGCCCTACATTTGGCAGGAGAAAAGACACCCTTGAATTGTGTAGGTCAATTAAATATTGTAGATAAATACAATGGCGTCTTCTGGTCCAACACCAATGGAGACTAGGCTCTAAGAAAAGCTGTCTCGGGTGTGGACCAATCAAATTCAAGGACAGTGCATATTATCAGAGTTGTCTTTTTTGTTTGCATTTTGACTGCTTGTGTTGTGGTTATTGCAAACATGATGCCTTGAATAAAGGTGTCAGTTTTTGTGCCAGTTAAAAGGGTAAAACCTATTCCTAAATACAATGATATTCGTGTGTGCAAACGGCGGTGGTCAATGTGCAGCCTGCACTCCGCTTGGTCAAGCCACTGCTGGCAGAAAGGTCTCCAATGCAGGCAGCTCACGAGAGCCTCTGCCGTGGGCATAATTCGGCCGACTCTTTCACGATCGCCAAATGTCTCGGAAGATGCTTTCACATTTCACGTGACTGCAATGAATGCATTCAATGAAAGTTACGTATAACTGTTTGTCACAAAGCGGATCAAGGAGATTTACGTTTCCAAGATGTGGGAATTCATAGCGAAAGATAATGAGTCTGAATGGCCTCTCGCTTGGCATATTACACGACGTTACTGACAGACCGAGGATTAGCTGCCTTGCTATCGCACCCCTCCGCGACAAAAACGACGCCCGCGTGGCGTAGGCCGCCAGACCGAGCTGCGAATCCTCGTTCGCGACCGCGCCCCGGCGACAGGAGGAAGGCTGGACCCGTGGCCGCACCTCGGGATTTAACGCAAGCGAGCGGGCAGGGGAGTGGGGGGGGGGCAAGCGCCCATCCATGATCCGGAGTCGCCCAGCAAATAGGGCAGGGCTGGTCCCTCGCGTGACTCCCGGCCCCCCTCCCCGGTGTGAATGTGCCAGGAGGTCGCGAGCGGAGTGAGGGGTGCGAGACCGTGGCCGCGGGGTTGCCACTTAAAAACGTTTTCCGCAGAGTTGAAAAAAATAAATCTCAAGATATGCACAGTGCTGTGCTCGCGTGACGCGGTATTAGTAATAGGACATATTTGTCAGAAGATAAAAGTTGAGATAGTGTCGGTTCCTTTTAAATATTTAGGATTACACACCAGAGAAGGCAGAAGATCAGAGAGTGAAGCTAAGACCAGATTGGCCATGGTAAGAGGAATGTTAGCAAAATAAAGATGATGACATTCAAAGATAACTCTCTCTCAAGTGCAATACTAAGAGGAGACAATTACATGCAAATGCATGGTCTTGAGTGATATATTATCAAGCAAATTACAAAGAAACTGGGACTTTTAATTCGCCTGTGAAGGCTTACATATTTCCCAGAAATGTTGCATGTGGCAACCCAACTATAACATGATGATCCATCTTTGGGACTCAGGAGAACGAAGTTCATCACGTTGACACATTTTTAAAAAATGTATGATTATATGTAAAGTCAGCATAATTTTACATATTTGCATTTACACACAGTTTAATCAATTACCATGAATGTTATTTTATTGAATTGAAAAATGACTTTTGAGTATTAAATTGTCGCGAGTGTGACTTCCGGTGACGTTATGACTGAGTAGGCAACGCGGTATGGATCACTCTTACCCCTTACTAACTCGTCTCAACCCATAACCTACTCAGATTGAAAGGTTTCTTTGCCTAGTAATGTTTTATTTTTGCCTCTGATCTTTTAGAAGGCTGTTAGAAGACCAGACCCCCCCCGGGACAGTGAGAGGGAAAGGTCTACCTTCAAGCTCCTTGAGACTCGGGCCTAGGCTACGCGCCACGGCCCGCCTCGTGGTTAGGCGAGAGAAGCTCCCGATGCAGCAGCCCTTCCAATTTAAATTGAGGCCAGAGCCCCTGGCAAGAAGGCCAAGGCCTCATCCCCGCCGGAGTCACGAGATGCTACAAACACTGCTGGAGAGGGTGGAAGAAAACACCAACATACTCCGTGGCCTGGAGGAAAAAATTAACTAAATTGGAGGGGAGGGTCGAGAACCAGGAGATGGCGACCAACGTGAAGCGCAAGGCGGCATGATGAAAGCCCTCGAAACCAGGGTTCTGGAGCTCGAGACGGCAGTCAACACGCCGGATGCGAGGGTCCGAGAGAACCACCTGAAGGTGTACGGCGTTCCCGGAGGGGGTGGAAGGGAACGCTAAGCAGGGGACCCCGATCGTACATCCGCAGACACCTACCAAAGGTCCTAGCAAGCTCGGACCCTTCGGGCTCTCTGCCGATCAGGAGGTTGTGCAGGCTTAGCGGGTGGGAAGGAGAGATGGCGGGGAGACTCCATGGAGGCTAATAATGCGAGACCTCGACCTGTTCCAATCACCTTCGCATGACATCACGGTGCCGCGGAGGCGCTGAGGGCAGCGAGGGCAGCCAAGGACGGGGGCAACTCTCGTTGGGGGGAAGCGGACATTCATAGCACCGGGCCTCACCCCGATGGATGACAAGAGGAGGAAACTTCTCCTACCCTTGCATGGGGACCTGGTGGGCTGGGCCTGCTTGGACGCATTCCTCTAGCAGGCTGAGGATCGGGAGGGACCACAACCAGCCACTCGAGGCTCGGGGCGCGCTGGAATCCCCCTGCAGGGGGAAGCCCTCAGCGGCCCTTCTTCCTCCGCGTTTCACCCGATCTTCTACCTCTGGCCGCGATCCCCACACCCTGGCCCTCAATACCGCTCACGATATCCCCCATTTCGACACGGGGCCGCCAGGGAAGCACACACCCTCCTCGAAAAGCAGTGACCCTAGTGGAAAGGAGTGGCAGGTGGTCTCCCAGGCACGGGGGAGATTGGAATACGTCTCCCAGGAGCCAGGTACCGGAGCAGCCTGAGGACGGATTGGGACCTCCACACCTTCCCCTGCTGTGGTGTGAGGATGGGGAGGCCCCTGGGGATCAAGCTCCCATGGCCCGCTTGTGTACTGGGACAGCGCCCAGACCCCCAACGCATCTCCCCTGGATCTCCCGCCCCTCCCCAGATGACCCTTGTGGTATGGAGGAAAAGGCTGCCTGGACTAAACCCCTCCCCATGCCAAGTTCGAGAACCACAACTGCTAACGCGACAAATCTCAGCATCCCAGGGGGTACGAAAATGTCGGTGGTACACCCCCTCTGCCCCGACCTCCCCCATCCCCTCTGCAGCGTCGAGCGAGGAGCGCCCCCTGCCACACCCTTGCCTCCGTCACACATTTAGAGGGAGAATGGGATCGTAAAAATCTTCCATCACCTCCACCCCCCTCCGGTACCTCCGCCCTTCTTGCTTCTAGACGGCACCATCCCTTCTTCCTCTGCCCTTCCTCATCACCTGCGCGCCCCTTGTGTTGGCGCACCCCCCTCTCCCTCAGGACCTTTTCACCCGTCGCCTCCATCCCTTATCCCCCGGGACCCCCGTTTCTCCCTCCCTCGTCCCTACCGTGGCCTCACCGCCCTGATCAAAACGCCGCACAGAGACTCCTGCTGGCAGAGGTAACTTCGCAACACCGCCTGGAAAGACGCTCCGCCCCAAGGCAGAGGGATTTCACTCACATCTCCAGGGCGCTTAAAACACTTGCACAACGGGCCCTGATTTTTTTTTTATCCCTCACGACTAAAGGGCCCCGACGTGTCATTCAACCTCGAGGGAACTCTTGAGTCGAACCGTGACCCATCAACACAGCTGGCGAGCCACGGACCAAAGTCGCGTGCATGGGTGTGTTAGCGACAAGACCTCAGTGTATGAAGCGCACAAATGACCCAGATGGTGCAATTCGTTATCAGGCGCATTGTAATATGATCACGCCCGCGCCGTATCGCTGTAGTAAATCTTACAACCTTGGCAACGGATTATTCTTGTAATCCATTTGCCTTTAAAAAAAAAAAAAGCGATCATACTGTACCGAGCAGGTACACCCCCGGGCGTTGTTTTGAAAGCTGTATATTTAAGACCGCGGTAAATCTGCTCGTTTGGAGATGCGCGTCAACGTTATCCGCGGTTTACGATTTTTGGGAAAGTCACACTATCACAGCCGTATTAGCCACGCACTTGTCGGCTATTTTCCCGGAATATCAATAACAGCGTGGCCTTCACTCTCATGCGCACACTATAAACTATAAACACACAAAGCTCAAAGATTCCCCCCTACCTCCCCCCCCCCCCGCTATTATGTTCCACAAAAACTCACAAAAACGTCATGGCACACAAACATAATAAGGGTTCAGCTTGTGTTTAATATGCTGTTGGGGCGGGTACTGTTAGCGAGCATCTATCAAGGCCGGCATGGTGCTCAAGGTGGTGGTGGTGGTGGTCAGAATAATTCCCGGCTGCCTTTGTCTCTTCTCTGCTGATGTTTTCAACACTGTACGAGGTGCTCATTTAAAGGCAAGGTCAAAATATGGGGATGCCCAGGACCAGTTCTGATATTTGCCACTGATTTTGGCCATGACCAGGAATCAAACTGAGGTCGCCGGGGTTTTTTTGAGCACAGTGTGACAACCACCGCTGTATATCTGACGTATCTCCTTGTCAGAATACATACGAGTATGATCGTCACCCAACATCTGTCCAATGTTGAAACACTTATGTAAAGTGATAATCTGGCCCGAGTCGACTTGTGCTGCAGGGATAACGAATATTTAATGTTGATTAAAATGTATTTACGAATGTTCGATTTTTTTGCTTTCTGCCATAAGTCATTTTGTTCGTATTTCCATTTGTGTGATTGCTGCGCTTTATTTTTTTTCGTCTTGCTTTTATAATTGTGGTGACCCAGGTCCCTCTTGCAAATGAAAATGACCCCTGGTCTCTTGAGCTCGCACCTGGATCAAGGAAATACACTTGAATCTTGAACTTGCGCAAAAACACAAATCCTGCTCAACTGGCCAAATGTACCGCTTGATATATTCATGTATCTACGTTCAGAAACATGCGTGCAAAACAGATATTCTAACATTCAATGGTCTCAATTGCCTTCATAAAGAATTTGAATCCATTAAAAAACTACGTTTAGTCTTGTAAAATTAATTATATGTGACCCTATACATACATTAAAACTATTTCTTTTTTATTTTACCAGGTAAGGCCCACTGAGCTACGTATCTCGTTTTCAGAAGCAGCCTGGCTAAAAATGATAGCTTAACGATTTTGGCTTACCACGTGAAAATGTACGGCAGCCAAACACTCTAAAACGCATGTTTCTGAATGTGGAGGGGAAAAAACCGGAGGACCCAGAGAAAAATCCACGCGGCCACGGGGCAGAACACGCAAACTCCAAATATACAGCAGCAGCAGCAGCAGGCGTCAGGGTCGGGATCGAACCCACGCCCTCCTGTGTACCAGGCGAGGCCGTTAACATCTCCGAGCCACCGTCGCGTGCCGTGGTCACTCCCCCCCCCCCCCCCCCCCCCAGCCGTCCGGCTGTTGCCGAGTCTCACCAGCATCTCCCCGGACAGCAGCTCCAGCAGCGAGATGAGGTTGTGTCCATCGCGCAGGTCTTCGTACAGGTCGTTCACCTGTCGCTTGGACTGCCCAGACCACAGAGGGGGACACACACACGGGCACACGGGGATTAAGCCCTACGTGCGTCACAACCCCTACGTGCGTCACAACCCCGCTCGTTGCTCACGGTGCAACACATGCAAGGTGTGCGGCGAAGGGGCAGCCCCGCAATGGCTTGCTCACGCCACCGCCTTGCGGGAATGTTTCTCCAAATGGAGGGCGCACCGGGGAGGTACTGTTAAGGGGGTATTTGGCCTACTCTTTCAACGCAGGCCAGACATCTTTGAAGAGGTGGGTGAGGGTGGGGGGGGGGGGTTACACACACTTGTACACAATGCTCCCACGTCTACGCTCGCCGCCTTCATCTATCTGTGCTGGCTAGCATAGTGGAGTATGGTCAAATAGCCCCCAAACGAGCCAAACGGCATGGAAGGCCTGCATCCAGCAAACTTAGATGGGTATGCAAATAGTGAATGCTATATGATGCCTGATATTGATTTTATCTTCTATGTAAACCAATTATAATTTTGACATGCAGTTTGTCAAGTAAAAATGTTACGCATTGTCAACAGAACCCGTGGTACTTATCTAATTATTATTTAAATCTACCACTGTACCTTAAGATATACAATGCTAAGTTTTGGGCAATTCCCTTCTTCATAGCACATACATGAAGGGCCAATGCCCGCTATGTTACCTCGTGGATGTATTTTTGGCTTTTAAGGTCAGTGTTACTGACAAACTAATTGAGTTTCTTTTTTACTCTGTCAATTGTGTTCGTGCACCACGGCAAATCCAGCAGCAGGGGTATGAAATAATTGTAATTATTCGCGCAATAGCAACATAAGATGTCATACGTCCAAAGAATCATGAGGCGGTTACAAAAAAATCTCAAGGGAGTGGTGTGGAAGGACTCAGCAGTATGCTATTTCATCGCTCTCTGCTCTATAAGGTGAGTCACTCTGTTCCCTTGGCAGCAGCAGCAGCACACACCAGACTATTGCGATGGCCCTGAGCCAATGGCAATGGATAAAACCGTTTCTCAGCCGTCCTGCCCTGCACTCTTCCATAACAGATGCCTCGGGTAGAATCCGCAGCAATCTTCGGGCCAAACAAAATCCGCAACAACACCGAACTGTACGAGAAAACTGGTTGTCCTAATATCACACGAGGCATCGAGAGACAGTGACTCGGGTGGCTCGGACATGTGCAGTGAATTATTGGATTGCGAGCACAATTCGTTCCGGAAACGTGCTCGTAATCCAAAGCACTCGCATATCAAAGCGATAAGAAATAATGGAAAAGTCAGATGATTCGTTCCACAACTCAAAAATATATTTTTTTAAATTAATGGAAAAATATTGTACCTTTTTATATTTTTATTTAAATTTAACATAAAGTAATCAAACGTATTAATTGAATTGTGGCTGGTGTGAGGGAGACGAGAGAGAGGAGAGGAGGGTTATTGTGTAGGACGACTTTCACTGTCACTAACAGAATCACTGCCATCTGTTGGCTCACTGGAATCTTGTTATTTTTGTGCGACTTTAACAAGGAACCCATCCCAATGACGCTCGCTTTTGCCTCCTTTTGAGGATTTCGCGGAAATGTGACATTGAATTGTCGTTAAACAGATTCATCGCTCGCACTGCTACAGCCTTATTCGGGTGGTGCTTTTCTAAAGAACAGTCACTACACTTGGACGCAAAATTTAAAAAAATGCTTTACGCACACAAACGTGGTCACAACACTATAGTACTATAGTAAACAGTATACGCTCGCACGGATGTTGACTATACGAGTGAGGCACGCCGACTGAGACCGAGCATGGGAGATGATTACCCACAATCCCGCAGCATGAGAGGGAGAGAGAAGAACCATTGGCTCAGTTGTGATCACGTGAAGCTCGGCAGACAAAGCGTACACTCTACGTACTGCTCGTATTGCAAGACATCGCTCGTTTATAAAATTATTATTTATTTCAAAAATTTGCTCGTCTTGCAAAACGCTCGCACACCAAGTTACTCGCGATCCAAGGATTCACTGTACTCAGAATTGACCAAGCCCGCATACGCAAAAGTTGCCCCTAAGATGCACACCACCGTGCAAAAGGAAACGTGGGAGTCCCAAGACCACGTGGCGCAAGACAGTGAAGGACGAGCTGGTAGCGGCGATCGACCCCCTTTTGGAGCGAGGCTTAACATGTTGCCAAAGGACAGGAAGAAGTGGAGGTAACTCATTGCGGCATTGATGTCCCATAGCGGCTGAAGAGGATTAACAAAAAAGTAACTCCCCATGCACTCACACACCGACTGGTGCGGCGCGAAACTCTGTTATCCTCTTGTCCACATCGCAGGAGACCGTGAGAATGCGGGGGTAATTTATTTCCGAAGCACCACTGGTGGGCACGACCTCCACGGTTCGATGTCCTTCGACGATGACGACGGTGGCGGTGCGCGCCGTGTTTACAGCACACGGCTCACTTGGAAGCGCTTCTATTGCCGTGCACATTTGTATTTACAGGAGGTTACCGCGTGGCTTTTTTAAAAAAGGATTGTATTGCTCATTCCACTGAAGAATGGAACTGCAGAGAGAGTTCAAGTTTGGCGTGGGATGAAAGCGCATTTACCAACGTGCGACATAGAGCGGAGGAAATGAGACGTGACAAAACAGACACATTGATCGTTACTAAACACAGCACACCTCGATTGATTTGGTAAATTAGCAATTTATTTGCAATATGGCCCCTTCTCAAGGCAACCTGGAGATCCGGAGTCAATTCTAATGGAACAAAATGCCCTTATTACACCACGTGTGGGGTCAATACACCAGTCTCTATGACCGAGCAAGAGCAGTGATGGGGACATGCCAGTTGGTGATTATGAATTCCCAGGTTCACAAATTGTAACCTAGCGAAAAGCCAACGGAGCATTTCTGGGACAAACGCAACAATACGCAGCTCTGTTTCTTCTGCGGCGCGTCATCTGTTTCACATTTACCGTGAAAAAGTTTCGGCCGGAACATTTTTGTTGGGTTTTCTCCACATCGTGCCATTTTAAAAAGGACATGTGGGGCACTGAAGCTCTTTTTTTTTCTCTCTCTCTCTCTCTTTGATTCTTCCTGCCAAACATCTTTGAGAGGACATCGCTGGAAATTCAAAGTACAGTGTGTGCTCGACTATCATATTAAATGTACAGTGGATGAAAGTATTTCTTTTTTCTGCCACGAGTTCCCATCAAATTAATTGTCCTAAAAAAACGTTACAATTTACAGCACATACATGACACACGGTCTCCCATGGGAACTCGGGACACAAGGACACTTGGCAATGCAAAATGCACCGCCGCCTTCATGCCTCCTAGTAAATCACGTTTAACGCAGTGGTGTGAGGAAACGGCCCGAGGACTTTTGTAAGACCTCAAATGGCTCCCAGAGAGAAGGTGAAGAAAAAAAAAAACCAACCCCCACTGTAACGCAGATAATACGAGGCAGTATTTCTTCAGCTTTTTGTTTCAAGCTAAAAAAAAATCAACAAACGTCTCCCGTGGATACGTGTGCTTGCATTATGATCATTGTGCACGTTTATTAGGAAAAGCGTCGCTGAGTCTCAATATTTTTCTTTTAAAAGAGGGTCCTGCCAAGTTTTCAGTCAAAGGAAGGGGTGATAATCGTTACGCGTAATCTGACTTGAGTAATTTGAAAGTCATGTTTCATAATTTAGATGTTTGGCCAATATCAGTTACATTATATATATTTGTTTAGCTCCGGGAAGACACTGGAGAACTTGAAGCCTGGAGGAAACCCATGCAGAACAGAGGGAAAACACACAAAGTACACGCAGAAAGGTGCCCCAGTTGGGAATCAAACCCAGGCCCTTCTTGATGTGAGCCACGAGCGTCACCACTGTGCCACCCTTCTGCCCGATACATTCCTATCCCACCCAAACAATCAGTTTGCTTTCACGAATGCCACATTATCTTCAAGTAGTATTGTCTCAACAGCTAAATAAGATTACGAAGATGATACCTAAACAGTACAAACTTTAGAAAACTCATACTCGGGTGGAGACACGGCCTCATGTTAGTGCAGTTTGTCACTTGCTGCAGAGGTTCAAGGTTCGCGGTTCGCTCCCCCGGCCGCCCTGGTTAATTCTGCGGGCGTATTAACAGTAAAAACATATATGCACCTTCTATTGCACAGTGGATGTTGAATTAATTAAGAATGGGCAACACCGTCCTTCAAGAACACGTTGTATAAAGGGGAGTAGAAAACACTTTTGGGGCCAAGTAGTGTTCGTGAACACCTGCAAAAGTTGGCAAGGCACATGGATGATACGGTTAGCGCGATGGATACGCCATCATGTGTCTCACGTTAGGCTATGTACCAGATACTCATTGTGGGTTACGTTGCCGCAAGAGTGCGCTGGGAAAGGTTCAAACAAACACCACGCTCTGAAGATGGCGATCCACAGTCGCATTCCTGGCCACAGCTAACATCAGTGGTGAATAATACTTGAGCTGGACCTGTAACCCCTTGCACTCACCACCATCTAAACCAGAGGTGGGGAACGTCCGACCTGCGGGCTGTACGAGGCCCGCGGGCCGTACAAGGCCCGCAAAATCATTTGGTCTCTGACCCTGCCAAGGCAACCGCACGACTCAATTCAATAAATCTAGGCGCCTTTTTCATAGCAACATAAATTTCATTTTGTATGGCCCGCGATTGATGTTATAAATATTCAAATGGCCCTTGGCAGAAAAAAGGTTCCCCACCCATGAATTCTAAACCTTCATCAACCCACACTGACCAGCGCGGTGAAGTATGGTCAGGCAATGGCTACCACCGACACACCGACAGGGAAGCCTTCGTCCAGCCGTGGATTGACAAAGGGCTGCGAATTACTTTTGAACGTTTAAATTTATTCGTCGGCAGTCCCTCGAGGTTCGAGGATGACGACACCCATCAGGTTTAGTGGTTGCTCTTGAGGTGGCTGAGGAGTTCAAATTCTGCATCTGCAAATCTTTGG